CAGATCCAACATCCAGCTGCATCCGCCGACACTGGGTCATTGATCATGGTACTTCCTCTGGTTGCCTCATCGAAAGGAGCCAGAGGGATTTCAGGAACATGCAGACCTTTATGAGGGCCTAGCCTGGCTGTGGAAAGTGGTCAAGTGAAACCAACTGGCAGGGGGTAACTGAGCACGTGTACGTGCCACCATGGGGAAAAATTCAGCGAGGGATAGTGTCTTCTTGCAGCGCCAGACGCGCCGTGGCAGATAATTGCAGATTTCCAGAACGCTTCCATGCGCTCGGCCATATTTGCCCAGTTGACCAGTTGACATGGGAGCACACGTGGAGGAGTCTCCGCATTTGATAGGTCGATGGGGTAAACCGCGCCAAGGACAGCCAAGGCCAGCCGAGACTGCGCCAAGAGCACTAGTCAGCCAATCCGCATCGTCCTTTAAGTGCGTCGACCCTCTTCCCGCCCGCATTTGGCTGGATTGCCAAGAACGTGGTCAGTGTTGCAATCTTGCTGAGTTGCTTCGCTCTTACTTCGCTCTAAGACAAGCAGGCGAAGATAGGCGAAAGTGCCTTGGCTGGTTGCCTGCTGAAGTTAATTGAGTGGTTTTCTCCTGCCAACCACGGGTGTGCCGCCAAATCTCGAACTCGACCGCCCCTGGGATGGGGGCAATACCAAGACGCTTGTGATAAGCCCCATTTTCCCCGAAGTGCGAATCAGATAGAGGCGCGGAGGAACGTGTCATGTCGAGTACACGAACTGGGCATGATTCCCTTGCCACGATCTATGCGAACGCACCTGCAGCTGCAGTAGCGGGCGTCTCAAGCATGGTTCCAGGCGTAGGAAGAAAATGTCGCGTGAGGTAGCGATACAATGCATAGCAGCATAAAAGCCCCGTGGCTCGCTGTCCGAGTCAATTCAGGATCAAGCCCTCAATAACTTGTCTCACTTCACACATACCGTCAAGATGGTGCTCAGCCAGTATGACTACGTCTTTGCCATTGGCACTCTGTTTGCCATGCTTGATGCGTACAACAATGGTGCAAGTATGTCAATGCCTCTTTAACCTGGTCTTTATTAGATGATTTGCTGACATTACCTGTCTGAAAGATGATGTGGCCAACTCCTGGGCGACCAGTGTTTCCTCCAGATCGGTTACCTACCGACAAGCCATGATCTTCGGCACCGTCTTCGAGATGCTCGGTGCCATCACGGTCGGTGCTCGGACGGCCGACACCATCAAGAACGGTATCATCCCCAACTCGGCCTTCCGTGGTGATGCCGGTGTGCAGATGCTTGCCTTTACCTGTGCCCTCGCCGCTGCTTCCTCCTGGGTTATGTGGTGCACCAAGCACTCGGCTCACGTCTCGTCGACCTACTCCCTCATCTCTGCCGTTGCTGGTGTCGGTGTTGCAACCGTCGGTGCTTCCAAGGTACAATGGGGATGGAACCACGGAAAGGGCCTGGGAGCTATCTTCGCCGGCCTGGGCATGGCTCCCGCCATCTCGGCCGCTTTCGGTGCTATTATCTTCATGCTGATCAAGCTCATTGTCCACATGCGCAAGAACCCCGTGCCATGGGCCGTCTACAGCTCTCCCTTCTGGTTCCTCATCGCCGCCACTGTCTGTACCCTGTCCATTGTCTACAAAGGCTCGCCCAGTCTTGGCCTGAGCAAGAAGCCCGGCTGGTATATTGCCGCTGTGACCCTGGGTTGCGGTGGTGGTGTTGCTATCCTCTCCGCCATCTTCTTCGTCCCCTTTGTGCACGCTCGTGTGATCAAGCGGGATCACGGCGTCAAGTGGTGGATGTTTATCCTCGGCCCTCTGCTGTTCAAGCGCCCCGCTCCTGAGGGCGCCGACCGTGCCAAAGTCCCCAACTACGCCGTCATCCAGGACGAGGACCACGAGGAGGACGCTGCCCAGGCATCCCCCGCTCCCTCCGAGCAGACCCTTTCCGAGTTTGACAGCAAGAACCCCAAGACCGAGATCGAACCCATTACCTCGCCTGCCATCTCCCCCAACGAGAAGACCCTCGTCGCCAACGAGACCAAGCAGCTCACCTACAAGGAACTCATGGAGGAATCCAATAAGCGCCTGAACGCTCGTCTCCTCAAGAAGCGCGGACCCCTTGGATGGGCGATGCGCACCCTCCGCGACAACCCGATGGGCCCCGGCGAGATCTACGAACTGAAGAACATGAAGATCCTCCTGAAGCGCATCCCCGCCATGATCACAGCCGGCTTGCTGTACGGTCTGCACTACGACATCCACGCTGCCCAGTCCGGAATCCACGGCACTCCCGAGGGAGAACGGATGCAGCGTGTTTACGCCCACGCCGAAAAGTACCCCAACGAGGTCGAGCACACGTATTCGTTCGTGCAGGTCCTGACCGCTTGCACTGCTTCCTTTGCTCACGGCGCCAACGATATCGGTAACTCGGTCGGCCCTGGGCCGTTATCTACTCGGCCTGGAAGACGGGTAATGCGGCTGCCTCCAAGGCCCCAGTCCCTGTCTGGCAGCTTGCTGTTCTCTCCGGATGTATCTCTATCGGTCTCATCACTTACGGCTACAACATCATGAAGGGTATGTGCACCGTCTGTATGCTGCAATTCGAGACACAGAACTAACTGAGCAATAGTCATGGGTAACAAGATCACCTACCACTCCCCCAGCCGCGGTTGCTCGATGGAATTGGGCGCCGCCATCACCGTCTTGGTCTTCTCACAGTACTCTCTCCCCGTCTCGACCTCGATGTGCATCACCGGCGCCACGGTCGGCGTCGGTCTCTGCAACGGTACCCTCAAGGCCGTCAACTTCCAGCGTGTGGGTCTCCTGCTGCTGGCCTGGATCATGACCATCCCCATCGCTGGTACCCTTGGTGGTGTCCTGATGGGCCTGTTCATCAACGCTCCCCACTTCTCTTCTTAGATTTTGTTTGCATGTTACATTTTCTTTTTCTTTCTGTTATAGACTGATTGTCTGCGATACCATTTGGGCTGGGTTTACGGTTAAGGGTTTACCATAATTGATTCGGATATTGATACCATGTTATTAGCAATGCATTCAAGTGGAGTGGATAGAAAAAAGGTCCGAATTCACATTGACAACTCCTAGCAAATGTTGAACCATCCGTCGCCATTTTCTGAAGTAGGACTGCTTGGGCAAAGGTGATCCCCGCAGTGAGATCGATAATAGTCTGCTGTGGTTCCTGCGTAAGAGGGAAATGTCTCTCGCTGGCAAAGGACGGTGCCTCGGTTGGAGTCTGCATGTAGACCTGTGCATCTCCCTTAATGGGTTCGCGCCTTGCACTGTGACTGGACTTCTGTGAATGCAATTGTGAGCAGTCCGTCTGCTCTGACAGGACAGGTGCTGGTTGGGCGGAGATAGTGTCATGGGGTCCCACGCGGCCTAGGGCGTTGGTGGTATATACGCATGTTCTGGGCTGATAACTTCCATTGGAATCATCATTCTAACATTTTAGCGTTGTGCCTAGTATCTGCTCAGAACTCTAACTCCATACAGCTAATCATGTTGGGAACTGAGTTCCATTTGTCTCCTTTCTGGTCTGCTTGTTGAAGAAGCCCTTTGTTATATCCAGATAACTGAACATTACACACCACCCACCAACGCCAGTATACATCTATCCTGGCTTGATAGTAAGTATTTCCGGAAACAGCTTGCTGTCCACGCGTTGCGAGTCAATTCCCACTCGTGGCTTGCCCTTACACCATATAACAATTGCCGGTAACACCGCCGTCGATGATATCCCAGAGGTATGTCCTCTAGGTACCGTCATGAGCTTAGATACTTCACGTCAGCGGGACGCCGACGAACATTTTCAAAGCATTGAGAAACAGTTCGAAGAATTGCACGATCAAATGCAGGCACGACCTTTGTCTTCTCGCTCCCATGCTCCATCCTCTCGAGCTTCAAGTCGTTTCACGCAGCGGAATCCGCGACATGTGAATCTGCTGGAGAGGGTCATATCGTCTCCTAGTGCGCGGGGGAATTGCTCTATCCAGCCTCTACCACAAAGCTATGCTCAATCACCAAGGTTGAAGTGTTGGGCTTGGGTAGCTGAGGATACCAGTTTTGATAGAGACTTTATATGCTCTCGGGGAAGATTCTAGACGACAGATAATACAGACTTGTTCCCATGTGAATCTTCAAATGGCAATGGTCAACCCACGTCAGACTGCCGTGGTTTTCAGTTGATAGGAACAGTTCAATAGGGCTTTGGCTTGAACACTGTGGCTTTCTCCGTTGAAGTTACATTTTGTTAATGGCTGGTCGTAGTTTGAGGCTGCGTCCAGAAGGTTAGAGAAAGCTGGGGGAATTGCATAATATGGTCGCCGACGAAGCAACAAGCAACATCGACTTGACTGAGAAGCCAGCACATCCTCACTAGTATCTGCACTGCCTTTCTTCATCTGGCAATAAGACACTGCCGAACATTCTATAGCACCACCACTTCTAGTATGCTCCAATGGTCATCTGCACTCCTTTTCGTTGAGTGATCTACTGGTTGAAAGACTACCTGGCTCCTTAAGGCAGGAAACGAGAACTTCAGAACTTATCAGCAAATATTGTGAAAAGCACCCCGTCAATCCAAGAGCATGGCTCTTGCTAGGCCATGGACCTTACCCATCTGTTGCTTGCCTGCATTACTGGATTAGAAGTATATGAAAGCAGACGTGAGAATTTCGAATAACCCTAAGGTCATCCACGACCTTGCCCTTTCTACTTGTACAAGGGCAATGGTTCAAACACAGATCTCCTTGATGAATGACATACAAAATTTCACAAAGCCACCGCAAGGAGAAGCGCCAGCAAGCGCCTGTGATTGTGAACATGATCCCTGCCGTATCACATAGGGCGCCTAAAGTACGGAGTCGTTTGCCTGTCCTGCAAGTATCTAACAAGCACATCTTCCTTTTCTACCCTCCCGACAGCATTCATGTATGTCCTTACCTGAAACCTGACGTCGAGGAAGCTTTACGGCGTCAATATGGAAGACTCGGTAAGACTCATGATGAGAGCTCTGCCGGAAACAGAAAATAAAATTATCTAACCGAGGTAACAGAACCGGCCAACGTTCGAAGGTTTACCAGTGGAATTGCAGATTTCTATCTTATTCAATATCGATGACCTGGATTCCCTTCGATCGCTTGTATTTGCCTCACCGACATGTCACCGAGCATATCAGCTCGTGAGACAAGAACTTCTCTGCGTGCTTCTACAGAGCTCTTACGATGGACTTGTAGACATCGTAGATGCAGTAGCTGCCGTTCGGTCCAGAGGCTTATACGCCATCAAGCCATCGAACCGTGCAAAGATTATTGCCTTGTTGGACAGCCGACGGCGAAGTGAAGAGATCCGTCGCCTGGGACTATCATCATGGCTGTTTCCAGACGAACCTGCTGATACTGGGGAGACAATTCAACTACTGCATCTCCATGAAAAGGCCATTTTTCTCCTCGACGATTACACCAGAACGGCAGTTCGTCCGGAGTGGATAGACTTGGAGAAATGGAAGAATGAAATTTTACCCCAGACCCTATCCAGAACGGAACAAAGACGGTTTCTTCGGGCATTCTATCGGATGCAGATCTATGGTAACATATTCGGTCCTATTGAACTTCCCCTGGGTGCAGACGACGTCGAAGAAGAAAATGACTGGTTCCATGATGGGGGCGGCCGGACGCCTACTTTCACGGATGAAGAAATGTGGCGTCTATTCTTCGGGCCCATGGCGCCATGGGAAGTCGAAGAATTCAGCTGTTTCTGGCGGCATTGTTATCATCGATGGGAAGAGCCATATCTTGAAAAATCAAAAAGCCTTGCCGCTTATGTGGCTCCTGGCGTTATCTTCTTCAGCGATCTTCCTCCCGAAGAGCGGCACCCTCTGAATCGCCTTGGATTGGACATTGACCATATGCATATTCACCAAGATGAGCACAGGGGAATTCTGGCCTACATGGTACCAACGTTCCTTGTGAAGATACTTAGTGAACAGGATTTCAGAACTCGCCGCGACTTGCTTCTGGCCAACATCGTTATTCATAACCATTCGTTTGCTGAATATTGGCCCAAACCGAGTTGGGATGAAGCCGGAGCGTTGCCTCTTCTATACCCTGCAGATAGATTCGACTTCGGCACCGATGTCAGTGGTCTCAAGGCATACTTGGAGACGCTGCCTCTGCACGAGCGGCCTAATATCGCCTGGACGCAGTGGTGGCTCGACACAGAGCTGGAGTCTCCCCAAGTGTTTGAGGATATGTACTCGTATGCCCCGAACTCTCGGTGTTGGGATTGGGGATATGCTATTTGGGACGATGAAAGGCTCATTGAATGGGGCGCCATGGATCATCTCGAACCCCCTTAACACGATTGGCACACCTTGATTATTAACGCATTGTTGGTCAAGCAAGCAAGGATATTCATGTTTATATTTTATACGCGCCTGAGACTTTGAACACCTTGATGACTGTCCAAGAGACAAATCCAGGATCTAATATACCTTGAAGTTCAGACTCACCACCCATGAAATCACCATATAAAGCCATACGTGAAGGATAGTACGTAAGATCATAGAAGCAAGAATCTAATCATAAAAGACATTCAGTCTCACCCCTCAAGGATTCAGCAACCACCTCCACCACCACCTCCTCCTCCTCCTGCTCCAAGATGTAGATACTATAACTTTTAATATCTCTGAAGTTAAATATATCTTACCACCACCCCTACTTCCCTAGTCTTTCTGGGTCACTGGTTCTAGTATTATATTTATGCTAATTATACATACACTGCTATATATATACATAGGGGGTCAAAAGTATCCGGACACTCCGCATTTCCGCGACGCGTCAAAAAATCAACAATTCTTTTAACCACCAACCATTCCATCAAAATGAGGTCGTTTGGCACCGAAATTAGTGGAAATAGAAGGCCTAAAGCTGAGCTTTCTAGTGAGACACGCGCAGCTATTTTATATGGCCTAGAGAACCAGGGATCGCCTACTCAACTAGCGAAGGAATTTAGCATCAGTCGCAGTACTATTTACGCAACTAAGGAACGCTTCCAACACCATAAATCCTTGAAATCAATGCCTCAAATAGGGAGACCCCAAAAGCTTAGCCCCTCTGCTAAGCATTACATCTACCAGATGGTCCGCCGGAGCCCCTCTATAAGCTGGAAGGCCTTAATTGCATACTCACCTGGGGGCGTCTCCAAGTCAACTATTCAATGTGTTTTGAGGAGATATCACCTTAAGAAGTGGAAGAGTAAGAAAAGGATCCCTTTAAAGCGCGAAACAGTCAAGAAACAGTATAAATTTGCGCGTACATGGCTTGATTTCCCTCACTGGGAGGAAGTACTGTTTTCTGATGAATGTTCCGTCCAAAGAAAGCCAAATAATTCCACCCAATTCGTCTTCCGATTCTCGAATGAAGCATACCAGCATGATCTAGTCAATCTAATAAACCATGGGAAGGATATTTCACAGATGATATGGGGTGCAATCTGGATTGGAGGCCGTACAAAGCTGGTGATTATGGAACGTGATGAATTAGCTCCTTGAGGTGGATATTCTACTGATTCTTATCTAAAATGCCTTGAAGATGGCCTCCTTCCAATCTATGAGGCTGGCATAATATTCCAGTAAGATAATGCCAAAATCCATACATCTTACCAGGTGCAGGAGTGGTTTGAATCTCATGGAATCTGGGTCATGGAATGGCCTCCGCATTCGCCTGATTTAAACCTAATTGAACACCTCTGGAACCTCCTAAAGAAGAAGCTTTTAGAGCTCTATCCTGGACTCTTCTTAGGAGGCAGATCTAAGGTAGATTGGACACGATTTCGCAAGGCTATTATAGAGGCATGGGATGCTATCCCTCAGGAGAAGATTAACAGTCTAATTCGCTCAATGCCACGTAGATTACGTGCAGTTTACCAGGCAAAGGGATGGTATACTAAATATTAATATCTACTATCCCCTAGTTTATTCTTATGTACTAGAATAGTATGGTGGTTGAGAAATATGGGATTGAAAATGGTCGAATTTTTCGATTTTTTAGAGTGTCCGGATACTTTTGACCTCTTAGTTTACTTAAGTTGCCTAGATAATAATAAGATTATACCCCGTAGTGCGGTCACAATCTGCGGTCGCACACCCTGGTGCACTTACACTTCTTGGTGCACTTACACTCCTAGTGCACATGCACTTCCCGGTGCACAGTGTACCAATCACTAGATATGCACGACTAAAATTACCCCTACCGGATGGCAGGTGATATAGAATCCAAGCCTCTTAGCGATTGGCTTGTTCATTTTATAAGCAGCTGGTGCAGAGATTTGTGAGTCATCCAATGGAACGTGGTCAATTCTCGCCTGGCAGTGCACAGGATATAGGTAGCTCCATGATTTCCCAAGCCGGCACAGATGGAACTTCCTCTCCTTGCTAGCAACTAACACCCTGTTTGATCATGGGCCTAAGCAAGCAAGGCACAAAACCCATGTGTAACTCCGTTCTCATAGACGTATATATGAACCACACCAAGGACTCAATGACATAAACTTTACTTTACCCAGTAAAAATATCCAAAAACAAACCAAAGCCAAGTGTACATAGCCGTAAACAACAGTGACATCAGAAAAGACAAGACATGAAGTAAATGAACAAAAAATATGTGATTGGACTCTGAGTCAAAATAACCAACATGCACAGGAATGGAGGATCAGAGCCCTACCTTGGCTGGTTTGATCAATCCCTCATTTCAATGCAGTTTTTTGCGCATCTCTTGTTCTTTCCTTCTCGATGTGGCGCCGGCTTTCTTATATTCCTTGGCGTGATACTGATGCACCGCTACCTTCTCCGGAGATTCATACGCATATGGATATTTATGGCCAAATCCACTTCTGTAGGCAGCGGCACTATAATCAGATTAATAGATATCACTTGAATAATGGCCGGAAAGGCTGGGAGTGCCTTACGTATTAGCCGCGACCCTGGCGCTCGCATTGGCTTCAATGCTCCTTTCTACTCTCTCTCTGAAGAGAGGATCGCTTGGCTTTAGGCCGGCCGCCCCATTGGCCTTGCTGGCAGCTTTCTTAGCCGCGGCATATTCATCGTCTCGGACCTTATACGCATCGTGTTCTTCCTTCACGCGTTGCGGGTAGGGGTTTGGGCGTTTGACAAAGGGGTCGGGCATTGGAGGATGCCTGATATCCCCGCCTGCCAAAGACGAAGAACGCCCCTTCGCCGAGTTTTGGAAGTTTGGGCCAAAGTAACTTGGCTCACGTCGAGAGCTGGGGGCGCTCTGCTAGGATTGTGGGTATCATAGTCGTAGTCGGTATCCGATACTCTTCTGTCCAGGGCGGCTCGCTGGGAACTGAAGTTATGGTGCCGACCACTCCGACTCATTTTGACCACCAAGGTGTGTACTTTGCGGAAAAAAAAAGGCGTTGAGCAAAGGGAGGTGCAAGGTCAATTCAAGACGTCCACAAGGCAAGTAAAAACGCAATGGAATGAGGCTGATCAGATTCACACAGAAGGGCTCTGATATTCCGACAGTTATTGAACTACAGCTACACCATGGACAACACGTCCGTGTTTATAGTTTAGAAGTTGCTGGTATATTGTCTGAACAGCATATCCGGAGCAGCAAGGATAAAAATATTCATTCCGCTCTGCAAGCGCTTTCGCTGAGGCATGAGCCCGGGGATTTACTGAACGCGGGCTCGATATCTAACCATTGCACCCATTGTTTTGCAGTTGGCAACAGGCATTAATCTATTGGCATCCAGTTCAAGTTTGTCTCATGCCGTCGAGCGTCAATGTATTTTTAATCCTGTAATTGCGTTTTAGCCGCCAGCATGCGAACCGCCAGACAGTCCATTATATGGACAAACGGGGGTGCGAGTGAGGCCGCATGGGAGATATTCGCCACATTCAACCTATAGTGATTCCCTGGATAGAATGTCATGTATACTCGACCTGCTTGACCGGGATTGGCTCTCAGCTGTTGCTGCAAATGGATACGCTCATATTGCCAATTCCGACTTTAGGCTCAGTTTCCGATAGAATGTTCAATCACACGATGACTTTCTATAATAGCCAGTATGGAAACCTGCCAAGACTCACTGTCATCGCATATTATACTGGCATGCATCCTAGGCGACTCGCTGCACGATTAATTACGATTATGTCGGATGCAAGAAAGCCAGATCCACCTATATAATCGCACATGGAAGAGCGCCGGCGGCAAAGCAAAGTAGTGTAGCGGCGCAGAAAACGAGTGGGTAAGGTAGATTATCGTCTAAGCGCCGCTGTATTTCTGTTGCAGATCAGGAGAAGGCCGAGAATGAGATTGTCAGGCTGTCAGGCACGGACAGGTGTATTACATAAGGCGGTTGAGCAGTCCCAAGCGCCATCGTCTCTGTCTACTCTGTAGTCCCCTTTTCCTCCTCAGGATCCATGTTTCATTTCTGCATTTATCGACTGCTATCGTAAAAGCCTACGACTTGACGAATGATGATGATGACAACGGTAAGTACACCACGTGTGCTGCGAGAAAACCGATATCTGACAATGTATCAGACCAAGCCATCTCTTGAAGGCCTACCAGTGGAATTACAAATCTGCATCTTGTTTAGACTTCAGGACCTGGATTCTCTGCGATCCCTAGTCCTTGCATCGCCTGCTTATTATCAGGCTTATCATTTGGTTAGAGATGAGCTCCTCCTGAGCATCCTGCGATGTTCACGCGATGACCTTGTGGACGCTGCAGACGCAGTAGCTGCCGTCCGCTCCAAAGGTCTGTACGCTTGCGAGCTATCAAACCGGGAAAGGATCATTGCCCTCTTGGATAGTCGACGACGAAGCAAAGAGATCCGCTACCTAGGCTTATTGTCTGGACCCTTTCCTGACGAGCCGGCCAACGTTGAAGAGACTATTCAGTTATTACATCTCCATAGAAGAGCCACTTTTCTCCTTGACGATTACTTAAGGACTGCGAGATGTCCGGAGTGGATGCCCACAGAGAAATGGAAAAACGAAATTTTGCCCCTACGCCTATCTAGGACGGAACAAAGGCGTTTTTTCCGAGCATTCTATCGGATGCAGATCTGGGGCAATATATTCGCCCACATCGAGCTTCCCCTGGGCGCAGGCCGTCCGAAAGAGGAGAACTACTGGTTTAGCCCCCCTGAGGGAGTCCCACCTGTGTTCGAAGACGACGAAGTATGGCGTCTTTTCTTCGGGACCATGGCGCCGTGGGAGGTGGATGAAATTGCCTGTTTCTGGAGACATTGCTACCATCGATGGGCGGAGCCATATTTCGAGGCATCCGACAACTTTTTATCTTATGGTGTTACCTTTATCTGCGATATGCCGCCCGACGAGAAACCTCCCTTGACACGTTTCTGGGACGACTGTGACGATCTCAAACGTAGGGAAGACGACAATAGAGAGAGTTTAGCCTGCATGGGACCGTCATTTCTTGTCAAGATGCTTCGTGAACGGAATGCCCGGGCTCGGCGAGACCTAGTCATCGCAAATGCCATAAGTTTCCATCACTTCTTCGAGGACTTTTGGTCCGGGATGGATTTTGCAATGCAAGGAGCGCTGCCCCTACTCTACCCCGCAGATAGATTCAACTTTGGCACGGACTTTGACGGACTCAAGGAGTTTTTGAACACCCTGCCGCAGCATGAACGACCTAATGTCGCCTGGTCGCAGTTGTGGCTGGGAGAAGGGCAGGAATACTCAGAGGTATTTGTGGATATGTTCAGCTTTAGCTCATCTTATTCGTGTTGGGACTGGGGATTTGCTTTATGGAGTGACGAAAGGCTGATTGAATGGGGAGCACTGGATCAGCCCTGTATCAGGAGATAGGTATACTAACTAACCCTATACCCTACGGGTCTCAGAAGTGTGATGGCCGTGTGCTATGAACTTGAAACCGTCAATACCAAGTTGGATGGACGCCAACGTGCCTATCTTTGAAGATTGTTAGCCTCATCAATTCTTATTCAGTCGTTTTGAATTGCAGTTATCTTTCATCTCCACATTCTGTCTTTAAACTGTAATGCGTCCACCACCTTGGTTTTTCATCCATACCCGATTATATAGAAGCACCAATCCAATCATAAGAGACATTCAGGCTCACCTAGCAAGGGGATGGCTCTTATATACTGGAGGTTATAATAAGGGCGGTGTTTACAAGATAGTATATCAGGAGACCATACCAAAAACAGTAAAACTAGTAACCACAAGAGGGAATTCACAGGTCCTCGCTTTACAACTCCAATTACGGCTATGATACAGTGGGGGTTCAAAAGTATTTGCCCCCCTTTTTGCCGCCAGAATCACCGCTTTCCATTTTGATCTATTCTGCCGCTATAGAAACTAGTATTTTGTATACCAACCATCTGCATCAAGGATCGCCTGCACACGGTGAGGCATAGTATTAGATAGCTGCTGCAGAACCCTCTCATCTATTGCATGCCATGCCTCTTTTGCTGCATCTATAAGCTGATGTAAAGTATCCTGAGTATCTGGCGCATGCTCAAGCTCTGGATAGCGCTCATAGATAATTCCCTTCATAATTGCCCATAGATTCTCGATTGGATTCAGATCAGGTGAGTATGGTGGCCAGACCATAACCTGAATCTGCATATCACTAAGCAGGGAGCTAATAATATGCGCAGTATGCACTGAGGCGCCATCATGCATAAGGATATCACCAGGCTGAAGCAATTCGGGGAGAAAAGCTTCATATATTGAGTGTATAACCCAGGAAGTTACCCCCCTCTTCTGGAATTAGGGTCACCATCTAGAGGGACAAGGCCTGTACGGATATTATATCCAAATCCAGCCCAAAACATCTTCTTTACCCCTTTCCACATTGAATACCGTGCACATCATGCTCAATAAGCTGTTGAGATGGGCTATTAAAAGTCTATATAGGTTGAACACCTTGACCACATTCAACTGAGCATTCATCTGTCCATTTCACCCGTCTCCAATCATCAGGTGAATAGTGAGCATAAGTCTGAGCCCATTGTAAGCGCTTAGTAGCGTTCTCTTCTGTGATTTCTGGTCGTTTTCGTTGCTTCCATTTGCGCATATGTAGACTTCGGAAGAGTCGATGAACTGTACTCTTTGAAGGAGAGGCATTAACTGCAATCTGCAGCTCGCGCATCTTAATATAAGGATCCGAAGTTGCAAGATCAAGTAGATGATTCTGTTGCTCACTGGTTAAGACCTTTGGACGGCCACTTCGGGGTAAGGATTGCTGATCATTGCGTTGATTCTCCTTTTTGATAGTATATTTAATAGTAGAAAGAGGTATCTCAGGATATCGTGTATGAATTCGCTTATAGCCCCATCCAATGCTATACAGCTCACAGATTCGGGCACGGAGAGTAGGTGTAAGCTCACTAGATCGCGCCATCTAGGCGTGTTGGAATAGAATCAAATATTAGAATAATTAAATCGAATACGCGCCTAGGCCGGCGTTGAGGTAGGCAGAATCTAAAATAGAAAGCGGTGATTCTAGCGGCATTTGGGGGGGCAAATACTTTTGAACCCCCACTGTAACACGAAACGCCGAAACGAACGGAAAAGGCATTACACCATGGGCAAAATGACCATGACGCCAGGAGTAAGAACCCCATGATGAGTACTATTTTCCCGATAGTTCGAGGCTCGGCAGACATACCATTCGGAGAAGATAAATTCAGATCTGGACCCGCTGGCAGAAGGCATCGTCTCTACAAAGACCGCATTCTTCGATGATGGCCTCACAAATAAAACTTCGACTTGGGCAAGGGTCTCGCTAGGGAGGCCATTGTCTGTAGCGTTATTCTTGATGGCCTCAGCCAAACTAGAAGCCATCAAGTATTCAACACTTCAGATCCAATTCCTAGTGATTTATAGCGAGCTATCCCCCTCTCTACCAGACTTTGACTCTCACGTCCTCAAAAACAAGCTGGCCTTGCAACCTCCGGCCGCCAAGTCAGACGCATTCATTTCACTCAAGGTGAAAAACAAAATAAGCGCTTCTCACCCCAATCATCCCTTGCTAGTTTTCTCGCCATGTTAGTACTCCACACCTCGGGCAGCTAGAGCACAGTTGACGAGCCCATCACTTTGGCGCAGAATTCTTGGCCGGCGTTCAGGTTTCTGGCACGCACTGGAGGGGTTGGAAGGGTCCTCCTATCTTTTGAACCTAACCTAGGTTAGTGTATTCTAATTACTAGGTATTGTAATTAAAACCCGTTTTTAGAACCCAACCGACCCACGGGCCCTAGAACCTGAACCCAAACCCGGTCCATGGCGGGTTCAGGCCGGGTTGGGTTAGGGTTCCCGGGTTGGGTTTAACCAGTCTAATGCCTTTAGATGGGAAGATCTTACACCCCTATGAAGGAACTGCTTCCGCGGCAGATACACATCATTATCAGTCTAAAGTTGGATCAGTCATCCATCCCGCAGTGATTACGCGATTAGATATTGCAAAGATAGTATCTGAATTAGCAAGGTATCTCACTAATCCAGGCCTGGAGCACTTTGACGCTATTAACTAGGTGATTCTATATCTTGCAGCTACTGCTGATTATGCCCTGGAATATGGAGGGAGCCTTGCTATAGACCTCTTCCTTATTACAAGTGATACTGCGTTCGCTGACTATTCAGACTGGAAGAGCAGTAGGGGATATAATGTTAAGCTATTTAGTGCTGTAGTTAATTAGTGAGCTAGGAAGTAACGCATCATTACTACATCTACTACTGAAGCCGAATTGCTCGCCATATCTGAGGCCGTGAAGAACATATTCTGGTGGAAATGACTATTTCTAGATATTAGCTTTAATCCAGAGCATAAGATATCCATCTTATGTAATAATAAGTAAACAGTAGGCCTTCTTTGTAATCAAGAGCCTGTCATTTGAACAAAGCTACGGCACGTTGATATACATCAATACTAGCTTTGTCAAGAGGTCCAGGATGGCCAGATATCTGTTAAATGGATTGAAATAGCCTGTATGCCTGCTGATGGCCTTACTAAGATGCTTCCCTGTAATAAGCATTAAGAATTTTGCAAGATGGTTGGCCTAGTTAGCAAATCAGGAGCTGCAATTAACTAGGAGCCTCAACCTTAATATCACTTCATCGCCTTGCTTACGCCTTGCTTAAGGCCTATAATCGCTCTGCCTTCCTAATTGGGTAATTGAATTAGTTCAGCTCACCATATCTGCTGAGCTAGGGGGGTGTTTTGATATAGATTACTGCTTGCCCGATTGGGCCTATGGATGGACCTTCCTGATCTTGATTAGATTAATTACATTCCTTTATGGCTGATAATCGGTAATTTACCCCTATCTAGATGCCTGCATCCGACGGTATAAAATCTAGCTAGTCAGACGATAGATTAGAAAAAATAGTACCTTCCGAACTTTATCATTGGTAGGCAAATTACTAATGATAGCGAAATCTCATACGGTTCTGCGCTTTCCAACAAAATACCCTAAATCCAGTGAGCCATCAAAGCTCCGCCGCTTGTGGAATAGGCTGCTTTAGTTGTGATTTCTGCTTACGATGTGGCTATATGCCAATTTCTTGTGTCTTGTCTGCAATTGTGGGTTATGGTGTTCGGATACTAGATTCCTGCTTCATTTGGTGAAGCGCCTGCATAGCTAGTTGCTTCTATAGACGGGCTCCAACAGGTTAATAGAATCTTGATTGATTGATTGATTGGTTTTCTAATGAAGGTACGAAGGTATGTATTTCAGTTAGCCATGCTGTATGCGTACTCTCTTATACATCGTCCGTCCCGTGTGTCCAGGTTCAAGCCTCCCAGATACCTAGGCTCACGCTAGTCCAATCTTGAAAGACCCCTCACCGTCTGCAAAACTAACATCATAACACGTCCCGGACGTCTTCAATTCAACCGAATCGTCCGAGTCACAGTTGCTTCCTTTGTACACGGTGATGGAAAAAATGGAGTCGTCGAAGAAGACCCTCCAGAGCATGATTGCTCTTCCCAGGTTGTGCTTCCACAGAAGTCACTGCTCGTTCCACCTGGGCGAAGTCAGCAGACACAATCCACGGTGCGTTCATTATTCGACAGGTGGGGTAATACATACAGAAACCATATTCACTGCAACAGACATTGAGGGGACACGTCTCAGTCGAGGCATATTCGGATCCTATATTTCGCTGTAAGCAGCCCTTCCTTTCCCTACCACCCTAGATATATAGACATACCCCATACCGTTCCATACCCGGGATAAACCCCTGGATCACATTCGGATACATGAGCACATGATCCGTTTGTGCTGGCAACTGCTATACATGAATCGCCACAGTATGAAGGCCCGTAACCACAGATATTGAATTATGTTACCGCTTGCCCTATTTGGAAGCATATGAATTGGCAAAGCACTGCCACTCTTGGCCGAATATTCGATAGCATTCGATCATTTGGAAGCCCCGCAATCCGACCCCTATCGAAGGCTTAAATAGGAGATAGATAGTCATTCATTTAGAAGAATCAGACCTTCATTCATTTTCGATTGGCCATAGAAATTGCTAGCGATTCGTAAATTGATACAGTATTATCATTTCCAACAGTTATGAGCCCGGCTTGTCCTTAAAGAACGCATGGATTGACTTCTGCTATCATTCTTCCAAGGCCTGCATATTGGAGAGCTCTATCTCATAGTATTGGTGAGATATCTCATTGGAATTGCCTGATTTAGAAGAATTAAAGATATATTGATACCGCCGTCACCCCGAAGCTAATATGGACTATTATACTAAACTAATCAGATCCACCACGAAGGTCTCCATCGTGCTAGATAAGCCTGATGATTGGTGGACATAGGACTCACATATAATTAGCCTAGCCTGAACCCATAGAGTGCTTAATATACTCTAGGGAGAAAGGCCTTACCCCATTCTGCTGATTTGACCAACTCATCTGATGGTTCTAGCTAATTAATAGGCAAAGTCAGCCCTAGCAGAACCCCAAGCAATGGAAGTGAGCTAATCAGATGGCTTATTAACTGCTATAGCCGCCCCGAAGGCTCTAGCAAAGCCAACCGATATCAAACTAGTGATATATACTGAAGAACTAGCGATCTATAAGGAAGAAAAGGAGCAATATTAACTAGATTGTCAAGGCCTTATAGCTATCTGGACCACCATGGAGTAAATGGTAGTCAGGGAACATCTCTAGTAGCTAACCAGCTAATCAGATAATGAGGTTAAGAGATATTAAAAGCTTAAGGCCGACCTAAAGCCTTTGATTGAAACGTGAATAAATGATATCTAAGAAAGATATTAAAAGCTTACTATTAAGCCAGCTAATCAGAATGTGTTAAGCTGGCTAAGTAAGTGGGAGAAGGTGCTGAGCGTGTGTACTAAACTAAATATAATATAATATACTAGATATATAGGCACTAGGACCTTCCTCATGGTGTTAAAAAAGATTGAACCCTAATATGCTAGTATTTAATTAGATTGTCTGCTAGAGGATAGTAAGCTAAGTGTCTTTGATGAGATCTCTTATTATTAAAAACACTAGGAAAGCCTTAGTTAGAGAGAATAGAAGAACATCTTTGCTATGTTTAAGGGATAATCCTCTGACTAATTAAATTCTAATTCAGCTAATCAGAATTGTAGATTTGAATGGCTTAAGCAAGATGACTACCCCTGTGGAGAAAGGCACTTATTTAATAAGTGCCTATATGTGATTGAATTGATATGGCTAAAAGGATGGAAGCTGAATCCAGGTATCATGGAATGATTTAAGAAGATTAAGTAAAACCTAAGGGTAAAGCATGTAATGGATGAAGTAATTAAGTGAGCTAATTAGAATTAGAATTAGGATGCATCTTGCATGGCTATGAGTATCATCTAAAGTGATTCCATAGTATTCTTGCTAGGAAGTGATGCATATGAGCTATGAGATAGTTGGATTATTGATTTAGGAGTAGATATCAATATCTGCAATAATTAAACTTGGTTCCTCACCTATGAACTAGTGGAAGATGAGTATGCGCATTTTGGTGTAATGAATGTGCAAATCCTTGGATATAGGAGGGTTGAACTAAAAGCAATTAGAATAAATAGAATGCTGTATATCCTAGAACTAAGTAGAGTAGCCTATATACCTAAGTGCTATATAAATTTACTTTTAACCTTTCACATAAAGAAATATGGATTTTATCTTAATTAATGCACTAATGTTATAGAAGATTGGCATAGGAAGCTGATTTGCTATACAGAAATAAGATGCAATCTGGAAGTGGTGGAATATAATCTGATATTAAATGTCTTTGTAATGAATTAATATTTGGAGAGGCTGCATGAATCTGCTGAAACTAGCAAATAATGGCATAAACAGCTAGCATATTTGGGAGATGAAGCTGTATAGCATCTGAAAGAGGCATCTATTAGTGTAAAAGTATTGAATTATAAGAGATCAATCTGCGAGACGTGCAGGCTAGCGAAGGCAGCTAAACAGATATCTTAAACACCCAGAGAGAGATCAACCAAGCTGTTTGAAAGCATTCATTTTGATATAATTCTGATGACTGTAGCCCATAATAGTGATTGCTGGGCCACTTATTTCATATGCAAATTAACTAGATGGCATGTCATCTACACGCATCTGGATAAAGATTAGCTTAATAGCCTAATAAAGCAATTCATCTAATGGGTTGAAACATAATTTGGCCTTAAGCTAAAGAAGATGTTCTCAGACTGCGAACTAATACTTAGGAATGAATATATACATACTATAAAAGATAAAGGCATTAAGATCTTCCATTCAACATAATATATTAATGAGTAGAAAGGGCTGATTAAATGTTCTGGCAAGACAATTATTAAGATGGCCTAAAGCATGTGAATTAGTGCATAATTACCAGAGAAGTTATGGCTACATATATTCTGCGCTGCTATTTACCTGCAGAATCAATGGCCGCGCAGAGAGGCAGTAGAGGAGAATAGGCAGAAGGAATGGATCTGGATCATGCCATATAAGAAGCTCTATAGGAGGAAGCCATTATTAGTGAATCTATGTATATATGGATGCAGAGCTTACATTAGGCACTATAAGATTCCAAGATTGAAGAAGCTGGATCCGCGCGCCTAGGTAGGCTATCTAGTTAGCTATACAGCATCTAATATATGGAAGATATGGAATCCAGTGACTAGAACAATCACTGATAAGAGAGATGTGATATTTAATAAAGACATCCTATTTAATCCAAATCAGCCATTCCACGCTGAAGCAATTAAAATATCAGATCTGCCAGAATTGCCTGTTAAAATTAATGAGCTGCTAGATATCGATGATTTGCCCAGCTTAATGGGAAGTGCAGATGATAAGTTAGATGAGGTTAAAGCTCAGGGGGTGAATAAAGTAATTAATATAATAAGTAAAGGAATAAGTGGAGGTGCTATACTAGATAAGGAAGGCAGTCAGATAGTAGAATTACTAGAAGCAAACCTTACACCTCTAACTCCCCTTGCTACGCCAGGAAGATCTATCTAACATAATGAACCTATTAAATCTATTAAGTAAGAAGGTGATCTTACACCACGCCCACAGTATGCAGATATAGGCTAATATAGCATTCCTGGAGGCTAGATTGATAGCCTATAGAGAGAATAGCCTATTTAACTTAATTTAATGACTCCAAGATCTCCTACAAGAATTGATGATTCCCCAGAGCCTGACACACCTATAAGGCTTATAGATACACTTCCTAAGTCCCTAGATTGATTGCAAGCAGAAGATTTACCTTCAAAACAGCTATTTAAGGAAGTCAATAGACTAAGTATTAAACTAAATAATTAAGACAAGCCAGATGACATTGATGATATCCTATAGAAGCCAAAACATAGTATAAGTGCTAATTTTTTGCTGGATAACATTATTGAAGGAAAATAGGAATGTTAAGCTCCATAATATATATATACTAGCACTTGGATAGATAGCTTGAAGGAATTCCACTCAGTGTTTACATCATTCAGAATAGGCCTATAAGATAAGGCATCTATGAAGAAGTAACTTTATTAAGATGAAATACCACCTGCACCTAATGGCTGGAAGGAAATGCAAAAGTATCTGCTAAAGGAACTCTTTGAAGCAGCTGCAGAGTTGGAACATAATATATTATTAGCTTGAGGAACTTTTCAGAAGGTCAGAATGCCTAGAGACAGGCAGATTATTCTGCTATAATAGGTTTTCACATATAAATTTAATTAAGAAGGATATTTAATTAAGGCCAAGGCATAAATCTGCATACAAGGAGACATGCAGTAGATGACATATAATGATACCACAGCCACTACTCTTACTGCACAAATATTTCGGACATTAATGGCTATTACAGCAGTATTTAATCTTAATATACAGTAAATCAACACCATCAACGCCTTCGTCAATAGCGAGCTAGACGAGGAGGTCTATACCAGAATAGCAGAAGGATTCTCTGAATATAGCTATATTTACCTACTAAAGTGAGCTCTCTACAGCCTACACAGGGCACCGCGCCTTTGGCAGAGGGATATTTTAAAAGCCCTTAATAAGATTGGCTTGCAAAGAATTAATACAGACTCATACCTTTATATAGATGATAAGACTATCATCCTAGTATTTGTAGATGACATACTATTTCTTTATCATCCTGAAAGCAAGAAGCATGCTAATAATCTAATTCAAAAACTACAAGAATGATATGAATTCCAAGATCTAGGCAAGGGAGAGAGTTTCCTAAACATCAAGATCACCAGAGATCAAACAAAATAGAAGCTATGGCTTAGCTAATAGGCATATATTAAGAAGATTGTTATAAGATATCATTTAGATTCCACTAATTGGAAGGCGCAAATGCCTGTAATAACAGATTATCTACACCCTTATGATGGAAAGGCTACAGCGCATGAGATACACCACTATCAATCTAAAATTAGATTAATTCTCTATGCCGCAGTGATCACTTACTTAGACATTACTAAGATAACATCTGATCTATTAAGATATCTATTGAATCCTAGACCAGCGCATTTTGATGCAGCTAATTGAATTATTCTATATCTCACTTCAACAAAGGACTACGCATTGGAATATGGAAGTGATTTAACAGGGAATATCTTTATTATTGCTAGTGATGCTGCCTATACAGATCATTTAGATTATAGCAGCAGTAAAGGATATTTAGTGAAGCTATTTGGTGCTGCTGTGGATTGGCACGCAGGGAAGTAACAGACTATTACTACTTCTACTACTAAGGCTGAATTGCTTGCCCTTTTAGAAGCCACAAAGAACATCTATTAGTGGAAATGACTATTCCTGGATATTAGATTTGATCTGGAGCATGAGATATCAATCTTATGCAATAATTACTAAACAGTAGGGCTTCTGCGCAGTGAAGAGCCTATAATTCGCACAAAGCTATGCTATGTTGATATACACCAGCACTGGCTTTGGCAAGAGGTTTAATTAGGCTGCATATTAGTTAATTAGATTGAAACCAATTGCATGCCGGCAGATGGCCTTACAAAGATATTGCTGAAGAATAAGTATACAGACTTTTGCAGGATGGTTGGGCTTATAGACCAATCAGGAAGCAGAGATTGAGCTTTAACCCATCTAACACTATTAATTCAACACGATTGCCCATTCTAAGAGATGGATACAGCTTCAACAGCTATGGAATAATGCAGCTTCACCTAACAGTTCAGCTGGGGGGTGTATTGAATTATGTTACTGCTTGCCCTATTTGGAAGCATATGAATTGGCAAAGCACTGCCACTCTTGGCTGAATATTCAATAGCATTCGATCATTTGGAAGCCCCGCAATCCGACCCCTATCGAAGGCTTAAATAGGAGATAGATAGTCATTCGTTTAGAAGAATCAGACCTTCATTCATTTTCGATTGGCCATAGAAATTGCTAGCGATTCGTAAATCGATACAGTATTATCATTTCCAACAACAGACATTTGATACTGAGGAGCAGCAACCCTCTGTGCATGGGCTATCGGCAGAACAAGCGGCTGCTGCAGCGCGGCAAGTAAATGTCAGCAAGATTGACACAAGCGCCAGAAGCATTTTTGCCATCAAATGCTGTGACTAGCAGCTCCTCTGTTGCGCAGTCTGGTGGATGATGGAAGAAGAGAGCACAAAGAAAAAATTGAGAAGAAATACTACTCGCATATCCCCTTGATATAAGTAGCCTTCCAATCTCACAAAGTACTCCTCTTCTCTATGAACTGAAATTATATTAAACCAGTCCTTGTTAGAGCTCCGGTGCCCATGTAGTACATGGCCTGCTGATTTCGATAAGTGGGGAGAGTGGGCGCGAGGACTGCAGCTAAAGCTAGCCGCATTTTGCTTGTTTAGCTTGCACTAGCCTGTGGTAATCGGTGAGAACTTAGATATGTAGCGCTGGGGCGCTCTCAATCTTTGACCTGGAGATAGCAGAGATCAACCCTTACTCGCCAGCCCAGAGTGAGGCTCAATGCTTTTGGAGTGAGGTACGGCCTTCCAAAGCCTATGTCTCAAACCTCATATCAATGCTTCTTGCTTCGATTGATAGTACGGAGGAGATTGACAGTTCTTAGCTCTGCTGTAAGCCCGTAATATTAATAGCTGATGGGTTGCCAAAGACCTGAAAAATCAGAAAAAACCGATTGCGCACTATCATGTGCGACAAGACGCATCCTCTGTACAGATTGTGTACAAACCCATTCAGGAATGACACACTTCGCGGCCCAACGTGAGTCAAAAATACTTAGTTCATCGCAAGCGACCAACGCTGAAAATACCGCATGATTTGCCTGAACTCCTCTCTTTTCTTCTAGCCTCAACACCTCCCGAGGTCCCTTCCCACACAGCTTCCTTCGCCTGGACAATATTCAGACAGCCACCCGAAATCCGCAGTTTGTCTGCAAAATGAACAATAATATGCAGGACAAAATCATATCCTTAATCACGGAGGGGAATCTCAGTCAATTAATCCCTGCCATTGAAACCGCCCTACAGCAGCACCAACTACCCCCGCAACCATCCTCCTCCAAACCGCAATCCAGACCATGCAGCTAGGCGTGCTCCAATATCTCCTTCCTCGACTGTTTCCACGTGACGAAAAAAACCACATAACCGGCCAGAAGAGCCCACTAGCACTGCTGGACCGAGCAGTTATCCTTGAGACGCTCAGCCCCGAACGAGTGCCAGCGTTTGAGCTGCTCTGCCGGCGCGATCCGTCGCTTCGAACTGTGCACCTAGGCCACATGGGTCCCCCGCTAGCATGGGCCATTCTGGGAAACAACCTCCGGCTGGCCTCATTTCTTCTAGCCGACGGTGTGGACTCTGCGGATTGCCAGGTCAACTATCAGCCCGCAGTAGTGGCAGCGGCGGGGAGCGCATCGTGTGCGATGATGGAGCTGCTATTGGATCACGGGGCAGTTGTAGAAGGTACTGATGCGCTTTTTGCTGCCGTGCGCAATCATCGTGTTGATATGCTCGCCCTCTTGGTGGAGAAGAGGAAAGCGGCCGATATTAATGCTGTTCAGCCGGCAGTCCGGGAGAGGGGACTCACTCCGGGGCCTGTGCTTCATCTGGCTATTCGACGGAGGGACCGGGCTATGGTGAGAGTGTTGATGCAGAGATTTCATGCGGATCCTCTGGCGAAGGACTCAGAGGGGAAGACTGCGGTTGATTGGGCTGTGCTGGTTACGGATGAGGAAATTTTGGACATGTGTCTAGGTGGAAAGGAAAATTAACAACAACTACTAAGTGGGGGTATCGACTGTGCGTCTCCTAGTCTGTATATGATTTTTAGTGTATTCCCCTGCACCCGGCTGTTCTTATCTTTATATTTGTGTAATGGCTGCTTCTTTTTTGCCCCTCCAAGTATTCTTTAAAGAACTCCCCTGGCCTACATTCTATTCACTCACATGTTCCTGTTGACACCAGCCTGTCGTGAAATCACCTCTATCTTTTCTCTTACTCCTCCTCTCCCTCCTACTGGCATGGACCTCCACCAGCCATGCCGCCGCAATCCCAGAGCGGCCCCCAGTAGTTCTCTCAAGCCTGGAATCCCCCTGTCATCCCGCGATCTCATCCCTCCCACCCTCCTGAGCAAGCGCGGATGCGCCTTCGGTAAGAGCATTGCCGAGGACGAGTACGACGGCGATGAGCAAGCCTCAGAGCCCGTCTACGTGTGCAGCAGCGAAGTTCCCTCTGTGGACGAGCTAGTGGCCCAGACCCAATCTTACGGGACCGTAGGCTCCTTGGACTCTCTCTTTTACAGCGGCCTGGACGGCGGCAACGCAATCCCACTCGCCAAGCAATGGTATTGCTCCAATGTTCCCGACGGACGTGGGGCGGTGGCCTTCGACAACATCGTCGACAATGACTGGTACCTCGCTCAAGCGTCTGCTTTTGCTTTGGCGCAGGTGTCTTATTCCAAGGTGGATCAGCCGCGTGGCTGTGCAGACGCCCAAGGCCTCCCATTCATTACTATGGCCTCGTGTCGGTCGCAAGGCTGAGCTGTGTTGTCTGCGTGACTTATAATAAACTCTCCTAATTAGGCAAACATTTTATATGCCACAATTGGCTTGAAGATTTAAGAAATCACAGCCACGCAAGGATCAATATCCGCTTGGTGAATACGAATATGCACACAGCTAGGGCTATTGGTACCCTCTTAGCCACGAACCCCTCTATCATGGAACATTCTGCTGCTTCTAGTGTGCCCACCAAGTCAAGGAGGGCTTTGGGACCAGATGTCCGACGGAATTGGAGGCGGATGAGAGCAAATAGCATCAAAATCAGCAGGGTCTCGGAGACGGGCAGTCGGGGTGTTATTAGCGAAGAGTTCGACGAGCGTTGTGCCTACAGAGAAGTTGTCAGCATACGGACACTAGTTCAGACAGAGACAGAGACAGCTGAGCATAGGGAATATACCGTTCGGATTGTATATCGGCCAACCCATCTTCCTTAACAATCCATCCCTCGGAGACTTGATGAATGCTGCCCACGCTTTTTGGAGGTAATCGCTGGCAGCCACTTCGTACCACTGCGGCTTTTTGTGAGGCTTGAGATGCCTGTATGAGCCTAATGCAAATGCAATATCCGCTGTGGACACATTCTTGTCAGTGAGACGCATATATGCTTGACCTGATCTATAACCCACCTTGATGGTAAGATCCTAGCCATGAGAAGAATGTCACTGTGGGGAAGACTCCCATATAGCGATACCGCCACACTGGAACCTGATGCTTCGCCCGGAAACTGAACGTTTGTTAGCAGCCTGTACTGGTACACGGATGCCAACCTGAACTTACAAGGCTTCTTGAGACATGGGACAGTGGAAATATGTGGTCGTGAGGATGTCTGAATGGGTCTTGTTGACACCCTTTTCAGACCAGTTCAGAACTCCATCACCTTCATTGTTGGTGATGCCCATCAGGACAGGCTGTCAAACACCAAGTTAGGACTTGATATGCACAGGGACCAACGAGACACTTACCACATTGGCGAACGAGCCAACCGAACCACGGCGACGATATTCCTCGGCGGAAAAAAGCGTGATATTATCAATCATCGGGCCCCCTCCAGTCGTGCCGAACGGGTTGACCGTAAGGTTGGAAAGCGCTCTGTGCAGAATCGGTGCAGGAACAGATTTCATGCAATTCAGCTCATTCGTTCTGTTCGCAGCACTTCTGCACCCCACTCGCTCTGCCGCCTGAATAAACACAAAATCATCCTGGGGCCCGACATATTCTGGAATCCCGCTCTGCAGGATCAACCCTTGCACAATCGGGTCATCTTTGAAGGCATAGGTGAGCAATGCAGCAGAGTCTGCACCGGCAGATTGGCCGCCAAGTGTGATTCTGGTTGGATCGCCACCGAACGCAGCGAGGTTCTCGCGCAGCCACTCCAATGCGGCTCGCTGGTCTCGAATACCAAGATTCTGCTGGTCGATTGGAATCGCGGGAGAGTTGGGAAATCCGAACACGTTGAGACGGTAACTACTGATTTGTGAGCGCTCTGAATGTATTGAATGGAAAAGAAGCATGATGGGTTGGGTAGAACAGTATACGAACTTCAAAGTGACAACGATAATATCGGCGTGGTTCGCGACGAGCCCTGTGGGATTGAACACTAAGACAGGTAAGAATGAGTTATATCCAACTTTGCAAAGGACCTACATGGAACGCTCGAGCCTCCTTCGTTGAAGGCACCGCCATATAACCAGACCAAAGCTGGCAGCAATTTGGATTTTGGCCGTCCTCGTGGCGTGAAGATGTTCAGTGACAAGCAGTCTTCCGACTCGGGGGTAGTTGGGGCTACATTGTCTCCTAACACGGTCTTATATCGAAACTGATAACAGACCGGACCGAACTGAGTTGCATTGACAATTGTGTGGTCGTCATCGATGTCAAGAGGCTGTGGAGGGCGGAATCGAAGATCGCCGAGGGGAGGTTTGGCATATGGGATCCCAAGATAGGCATCGACTTTGTCATGGACTGTGACACCATAGAATATTCGCTGTTGTGTTCTTACTACAATATCTGGCAGAGCCTCGAGAGTGGCAGCAAGCATGCTGAGAGCTGTTAAACAAAGGATTGACTTCATATTGCGCATGTATCTTGTTCTGATATGGATATTCTCAGAGATAGGCACTTCGACTGCGCAGACAAGTTTAATTTATAGTCAGCAATGCTAACATCTTTGGTCATTTTACATGTATCGGTAGTCTGTAGACAATTAGATCCTGATGCTATATCTATCAAATGCGAACTAAATGCGAGTGCGAACCGAGAGAGTGCGAATACGAACAAAGCCCACCCCAGACCGTCGAGGACCAATGAAAGGATGCTCCACCGCTGTTTGATGGTGTTCCGAATCAGTTTCATCTCGGTCATCACTAGGCAGCCGCTTACAGGTCGAAGTGTCCATATGTTCACGACTCTGATTTCTGAAGGAAGCTTTACATGCAAGGAACTCTACAGTCTTCTGACATCCTGACTAAAGCAGCGCGATTAACCCCCACAATGGACCAAAATTACCTGGTATATGACAGGGGAAATCTGAATCCTGTGCCGGGATGGTGGCTTGGACGGCAGGAAGAAAATTTGGCCACTGCACAAACGGGGCATTCAAAGGCTGAAAAGCCACAACCAAAGAGACGAATTCGTCCCCATAATAAATCCCGACGAGGGTGTTTGAACTGCAAAATCCGGAGAGTAAAAGTAAGACTGGTCGCCAAACTTGCTTGCTGTTTCGTACAACAGACTAAACCAACAGCAGTGTCCGGAGAATCATCCTGCTTGCGAGAATTGCCGGGGAAAGGACTTGGTCTGTGTATACCCGGCTGGGCTACAGAACGACGTTCAGTACCTTGGAGATCCAGCGCGGAATGTCTCAAGTCAGCTGGCATATCTGCAGCCCCGAAGACAAGCCGGAGAGTTTACCATTGCCGATATGTGCCTCTTGCAACACTTCATCACCGACGCTCATCCGCACCTCCCGGTTGGGAACGATGACATCTATACGCGAGCGCTCCCAGCGCTGACATATCAGGTAAGGCCGGCGTGGGGAATGAAGGACCTAGGACCTGCTTGCTGACACTTAGAGAAGCATGAATATGTGATGCACGCCATTCTTGCTCTTTCTTCCTCGCATCTAGCACTTCTAACCGGGTCCGCACTCCCTGTTGAGGCCTTGCGACATCGCCAAAGGGCTCTTCGAGGGCTAAATGAAGCAATGTCTCGAGCGCCAAGCGAGACCAGTGACGCTGACGCCATGTTGGCAGCTTGCTATATATTGACCTTTCAATCCTCGTACATGCTTGATGGCCTTTCCGAATATATCATGATGCTCCGAGGTTGCGGTTTAGTAACCGGATTGATGCTACAACGGAACCTGCACGGATCTTTCTCAATCGATGTAAATTCGCATATAAAATACATGGAAGCACAATCTGACCGGTTCCCTACAATCGACAGTCGGATTGCCTCGGATGGTATTCGCTCGCTAAGTCTTGTGAAACCTCTGTTACAGCATCCGATCGAAGAAGTCTTCTACCAGCTTTTATTTGACGTTCTCGCTTCTATTGAAAAGGGGCCGCCTGCGCGGCTTATGTCCATCTCACCAACATCATGAACGAGTTTATCACCTTGCCTCAATGCGAGGTCCACCATCTCCTCGATCCCGAGAAACAGATCTCGCAGGTGTTGATGGCTCATTTCCTCATCCTACTGGCCATTCTATCCCCGATAACATCATTGGAAGCAACCAATAGACTTCGCAATGTTCCAATGGCGGGAATGTTGTCTTGGGTTGCAAATATCTGTACACAGATGTCGGGAAGAAAGGCTGAACGATACCTTATGTGGCCGAAAAGTGTGGTAGAGACAATCCGTGCCAACACCAGCCGGACAGGTGTGTTGGTTGGTGACGTTCTGGTCTTGATTCTGAACTTCCCTGATAGACTCCTCCTACCACAACATGATATAGCCCGATAAATGTAAATTTGTGCTGAATATTTTTCTCGGCGTTGACCTTTCCCGCTTACTCAGCACACTCGGGCTTAGCCGGTCGCAGACTCGGAGACTCGGGCGTTGTTCCCAAATCCAATGCTGAAATCGTGCCATGAATAGCATCCTCAGCGCCCCTTTCGGCATAGTTGCTCGCTTAATTAGAACTTACTGCCGACACACTTGCCCGGCTCAGCGAGATGGGCACCACCGCCCCTGCGCCTTATGGAGGCCGATTGCGAAGTGCCTGTGACCGATGCCGACAACGGAAGGTTGGTAAAAGGACACGTGACAGCTGGGAAATAGAGAGAATGCTTCGGACTAATCATCATCACTCGATTTCCAATCATTACAGATTCGTTGCGATAGAGCCAAACCGGCCTGCGAGGCTTGTCATTTTGCCTCAACTCCTTGTATATTTACTCCGCTGCCGATCCAGCCGCGGAAGTCGGTCCGCGAGTAAGGTTGACCCCTTTCCACAGGCAGGTGATATCAATCCTGATTGACACCCCATGATCAGACAGTTGCAAGACACCAGAGCTGAAGTTCGCCGATTGGAAGAGGCCTTGAGAGCGGAGAGGAGTCTCCGTCAGAGTTCCAGTCCCGGTCTCCATCAACCTCCCGGGCTTGTCAATGATCTCTTCGATTCTCGTGGCTTCGACGTGACGCTGAAAGCTTTCCGGTGGCACCTTGCATACTGCACTCCTGGATTTGCTGCCTCCATACAATCAGATCCCGCCTTCGATTTAGAGGAGCTGCTCGACCGGGTGGCCGACTCATTCGACCTGCAGGTCCGTACGAAACCCGCCCGAGTAGTCTCGCCAAAATGGCCCCCGCGCCGCCTAATGGAGGCGTCGTTGGAGTACTTTTCGAGCAATGGATTGTATTCAATCCATCCGGTAGTTGACGTTGATGCACTTACGTGTCTACTGGACGCTTCCGACTTCGATGGCTACGGGATTGGTACCAATATTGCCGACCGGGCCTGTTTAGCGGCCTTGACAGCAATGATTACTAGGATTCGTCGACAAGAGCCTGCATTTGCTGATGCAGACCCGGATGCTTATGTCCAAGCAGTGCTTTCCGTGCTACCCCAGCTGATGATGGAACATACCAACGTCCGAGCTCTGGAAGCTCTGATTACCCTCGTAAGTCAACGTTCTGGCAAGTTGTTGCGTCCCGCATCTAATTGTCAAAAAGGCCCTCTATATCGCCCCTTTGGGTCAACCGCAAACAGCGGAAATACTCCTCGCTATGGCCGTTCGGATCCTCTTCAACCTGAGGGCACACAGAGCTAGGCCGACTTATGAAAATACCGCCCACAAGCATCAACATCAGCATTTGCGGGCTCTGTTCTGGACCTTTTATGCCGTGGATAAAGAAATGTCGCTTCGAAAATGTCAACCTCCGATGATCAATGACGCTGACTGCGACTTGACTCTACCTGATAAGTATGTTGCACAATCCTCTGAGCACCAGTTCTTCACGTCCGAGTTGTCACCCAAGGAACTTCTTTACCCCTCGGACCTTCGTCTGGCTATGCTTAAATCAAGGGTCTACCATTTGCTCTATTCCGAGCAAAGTCTGAGCCATTCGAGGGCGAGACGACTTCAGCTCATCCGCGAACTGGACCAGGAGTTGAATGAGCTGAAGTCTCAATTTCCCTCCGCTTGTAAACCTGATGCCGTTGTGAGCGGAAACGTGCCAGATTACCTTATCCATGATCTCAGTTTACGGGGCGTGAATGTGCATCTCGAGTACTACCACTGTCTTTCTAAGATTCACGGTGCGAGCGCCATCGGCACCCCGGTTCTGCAGAGTCTGTCTCCTCCATCTACAAGTATGGAATTATGTTATCAGGCGGCACGATCCACTTTGATATATCTGCGTCGAATTCGCCATTTGATCTTCCCTGAAACATTTTGGTAAGTGGCTGCGTTGACTGACGGTGCGAGTAGTTCTGACGTACTCTTACAGGATATATGCGCAAATCCTTCTGACGTCGAGTATTTCGCTCTACATGCGCATACTCTCAGCTCCCGAACAGTGCGGTGTCCAGGATGATATGCATCTACTAGAGAGCACAATCGATGTATTTCACCAGCTAAATTGTGTCGAGCCAAGCAAGCGTTTTCCACCATTCGTTATCATTGAAGCTTTCATCCAAAGATTGACATTGCTCGCCGAGCAGTCTCTATCGGAAGCTGCGAACTAAGACCATGTCCTTCACGTCGCTGAAACGTTGTGCGATGGGCGTCTGAATGTCATCAATATGCAAGCGTCTGCATGACAGGGGGATGCAGGATACTTGGGCTATTGAAAGGATACTTCTTACTCCCTGATTTACCATGCTTTTAAATCATCTTCCCTCGGACACTTAATCAAAGGGATCACATGATATGTGATGCACAAGAAACAGCAGTCATGTGATTATGTCAACAACTGGTTTCAGAAAAGGAGAGCTGTTAATACGCTCGAGACCATGTTAGACAACACCCGAGTCCCATTTCGTTTCGGGAATCTCACTTGATAGGAATACATCGAGGCCATATTTCTATTGAAAACATGGATTTTGATGACATCCAACTTCGGCAGTTCGACGCTTTCAAACAAGAGTGGATCAGGCAGTGTTCCACCTCATCGAAAGGGATTTGTGACTTGGCAAATCGTTACCGAAAACGCGATGACTGCTTGCTCCGGTCAATGCACTTCTGGTTCGTTCAATTTTAGCCTAAGATTGAATTGGGAAGATGGCGGCGAGGACTGGCTGATTCGATTCCCATTGCCTGGAAAATCGATGTTTCTAGACGAGAAAGTCCGCAGAGAGGCCGTAGTGATGGAATTTGTCGGTAGCAGGACTCAGATTCCTGTCCCTCGCGTCATTGCGTATGGAGTAGCGCATGAGAACCCTACTGGTCTTGGGCCCTTCATTATCATGACCTGGATTGAAGGAAGGAAAATGTCAGAGATCCCTCGAAAAGACACGCCACGGAAGGAGGATAATTTGAAACCCGATATTGACACACGAACCTTGGGGCTTCTTTATAGCCAAATGGCGGAGATACTGCTGGAGCTTTGGAAGCTCGACTTCGATTGCATCGGTTGCCTAAATAAAGACCAACAAAGTGGGCAGTATATGGTTGACGGCCCGCCTGACATTGGAAGTCAACGAGCTCATGCGGACCTGCGGATTGGGAAATCGCACTCCTCCAGGCGTATATCACAGCTCTACCGATTATATTGCATCATTGTTGCAACTGCAGTCAACTCACCTAAGGGAACAACGGAATAGCGTGTATGATTCCGAAGATTGCCGGGAGAAGTACGCTTGCCGCCATCTGATGAAAGCTATAGCCTTTGATTTCATTTCCCACAAAGACAACCACGGTCCATTCAAGTTGTTTTGCGACGATTTCGGACCTGGCAATGTCCTTGTGGATGACTCCCTTCGCGTCACGGGAGTTATTGACTGGGAGTTTTGCTATGCAGCTCCCGTGGAATTCGCTGGGAGTATCCCATCGTGGCTCCTTCTTCAACGGCCTCATCGAATCATTAATGAACTTGGTGCTGCCGGGTTTCTCGATATGTTCCTTCCCAAAGCAGAGATTTTTCTGAACTGTTTGCAACAGAAGGAGGGAACCACTGGGGCTAACCCTGAGTACCGACTTTCAGCACGTATGCGAAAAACAATTGAAGACAAGAGCGCCTGGTTTATTCTTGCTGCACGGATGGTATCATCCGTCGACATGATCTACTGGGAGTTACTCGATGAATTCTGCTGGGGACCGCGATCAACCATTGCAGACAGGGTCCACAACGTCACCACAATTCCCAAAAAGCATAAAGAGCGCGAGGGGTTCGTGCGCCTCAAGATTCGCCAGCTTCAGGAATACTATACTGAGCTTGGAGAAGAAACAACACTCGAATATGAGGAAGAGAGGTTTTACGAAACCGGAAGAGACTTTCGACCATGGGACGAGGTGTGCTAAATCATCTTCTTCACGCCCTGTTACAGCCCTGGGCACAGGACGCCAGGTCTATTTACCTCTTTGTATTTGTTTCTTTTCACTGGGCTGCGTGGTTGGCCTTTTAGCAAAGAGAATTATTGTCACGTAACAGCCTAATTCAGTTAACATTCTTTGCGTGCATGCTAGCATTGACAGCATATCCTTGGCAAATACTCACTGGTTTGTATAGCCGGGTCAAAGTCCCTTATTCATCATATCAGAGAATGCATTTAGCATGTTGCGATTCAATCCCTAATGTACTGACCCTCACCTCTCCAGATGCACTAGGTAGAAAGGGCTTGGAAAGCTCGTTGACAGAAACTCGGTCTGCGATGTATATTTACAGGTATTCAATAATGCCTTGGCCGAGGTACTTTATGCGATAGAGTGGGGACTCCAATACTTCAAACAGTTCAATGATTTATCCCATTGACCTTCACATCCGGGGTAGTCTTGCGGCCTTATGCGCCGAGTCTGCTCTTCCGCATAGTCGAGGGGCGTCTTGTTTTGGAAATCCCTTGCATACGGGTCCAGGACACCGTTCACTCGGAGGAACTCTACCAGCTCATGGGTGAATACACCATGGATGGCGCCATGATGCATAACGCAATTCTGATGGTGCACAATTTTTTCCTGTCCCTGTTAAAAGTGGAAACAGCTGTGGAGATACGGCCGCATATGTAACTTGGCTATATTACCTCTTTTCTTTGTTTTATCTCCCAAAGTTCTTTATTATGACTACCATCGGGACGACTACGGATCCTCCCAACGAATATCGCCCTCACATCCTGCAGAAACCTCTCTCGGAATAGACGGTTCAGTGGCACTTATGAGATTGAAGAGGATGTACAGGAGGGAAAAGCCGGTGCTGGTCTTGTGCGTCCAGATGCGGCGGAGCTGGGAGAGAAACACCGTGATCCGCTAGGCAGCGAAGGACCCTGTTGACGGCCAATTAGCAATTCATCTCTACTTTTTAAGTGTCCGAGACAAATACTTAGACGCGAAGCCAGTTGGGGCAGGAGGGGGTCATTTTCCAAGAGGCGCAGGCTGTGACGGGAGTTAGTTATAAGGATGGTGATTAAATAGAGGGCACCGACGTGCCATGAGTAATTTAGCAGCCCGGGTGCTGGCGGGGATCAGGATTAGCGGAGGTTGACAGGGGAGAGCATGTCAGCATTTCTGGATTAGGTTTGGTTCACTTGTTACCTTGTTACCTTACTAGTCTGGATGACCAATTTGGGGGGGAAAACTGGGTGGCTATTTGGAGTTTGGGACCCAAAAGAAACGGAAATATTATCAAGATCCGGTTGGTGGGCGCTAAATGATAGCACCACCATCTGTGAAGTGGCCAACTAGTAGTCGGGTACGGTATTCAGGGTTGTCGCCATTCATTCCATTCTATCTACAGGCCTGAACAACGACGCTGGCTGCCGACCGACGATAGCTTTTGCAAGTCGTCAAGGGCCCCGACAGTCTTGTGCCGCCTTACTTAAGGAAGCTTTGCACATTGTTCCGGAAGGTCGACGTCTTGGAGTCAGTTTATGTTTCGAGGTGATTGCGCACAATGCAACGTTCCTGTTACACTTGTCGCCGGCGGCATGTCGAATGCACAATGGCCCAGCCGCCCTGCAAGAAATGCAAAAAGGCTGGGTTAGAATGTTTTGAGAAAAGGCCTCTTAGATGGGCGGAGGGTGCGACCTATCGAGGGAAAATGGGAACGTTGTCAGCCAAGATCGCATCAGTCCCTTCTACGGCAGTAGGGGGCAACTCCAGAACCACGTCGACAGGAGGCCAAACGCTTGCTAGGTCTAGAAATCAGTCAGTCATAGTTGGTACTGAACTGAAGGGTAATTTTAACTCTTTTACATGCCAAGACGGTGCTCTTGTTTGGGGCTCCCCAGTGCGATGTTTCTGTATGTAACGAGACCATCACTAACGGAATTACTGTGGATGATACAGAAGCCTTGGAGCCCTCCAATCGCAGCATACCATCCAGCCTGGATGATCCGTCTATCATTGGGCTAGAAAGAAGCTCTAGGTATTATCTATATTATTGTAAGTCTGGTATTGTTCAAGTTGCTTTAAGGACTGTGCCCGAGCAATATCTGACGCAGACGCAGATAGCAAATGTGTATGCAAGCTGTTCATCATGTATGACAGCAACAAGAATCCTCTCAGGAATTTAATACCTGCTGCTCTGGGCCATCCTGTCTTGTTGATGTCCATTCTTGCTCTTTCGGCGCGGCACAAGGCAAATGCAGCTCGAACGTTCTATCAGTCTGAATCAGCAACACATTCCGGACTTGGATTGCAGGATGCCAGCTACAACGCTCTTCAGTTCAAATATAATGCGATACAAGGACTCTCAAGGGCGCTGGGGACTGCAAGGCCATCCCAAAAAGATATAATAGTTGCCAGCGCGTTCCTCCTGATCTTTCTCGATCTCCTGGAGTCCGGAAGCGACAAGTGGAATTTTCATCTAGAAGGCATCAAGAGCTTAATGGCCCAATTCCCAGCATCCCAGGCGCCACGTACGATGACTTCGCAAGATATGGGAACCACCGTCCAAGGATTACGTGACTTCATCCTCAGACAGATTTACTTGTACGTATGCTGACAACGAAACCTTGACCAGGAGTACGTGCTGACGAACGTAACTGCCTCAGGATCGACACGTTCGGAGCCACATGTACACGTCCTCGGCTACTTTCCTGTTCGACTCTTCCGTCACAATCTGCCACGCCTCTCGAAATGAGCGTTGACAGGGCGTTTCTGGGATGCCCTGATCAAATATTAGGCGCTCTACGGGTCTTCTCAACTGCAAGGGACATTTTGATGAGGTCAGATCGCTCTGACACGGTTGACTTGTATCCGTACGTGCAGGAAGTAAGGATGATGCTTGATTCTACGCAGAGCTTTGACTGCCACACCTGGGCCTCGGGCTTACTCCAGCCTCATTCGTTGACCCGGCCCCTTGGAATGCTCGACATGGTGGCGCAGTCGTATAAGTTTGGCGCTCTGATATATGGCAGACGCGTTTTGGATGCTCTGACTGGAGACACGAGTTCGCAACACGATCTCGTTTGTGACTTGATCCGTGTAATTGACGCTCTTAGGAGCAGTGATTCCCTGTTCAAGTGCATCCTGTGGCCTTTGTTTGTTGCGGGATTGGAATCCCAACAGGGAGCTCACAGACACTTCGTGGCTGGTTGTCTTGAAAAGTTTTGGTTCGAAACCAAATGCTTAAATGCGGTTAATGCTGGGATTATTTTGCGAAGGTTCTGGAAGCGGCAAGATTCCGGAGACATATCCTCATCCCAGTGGATATTCAATATAGGTCAAGTAGAAGGTGACTGGCTCCTTATATAGGTGTTCTTAACATTCTACTTATCTGCATGGCAATATGATAATAGCTAATACGGTCCGTCCGGACATGACCAAATGATAGACTTTCATCTCACTGCTCAGCAGGGTGCCGGCTTCTATTCCTCATAACATTGACCATCTTTTTTGTGTGACACCAGGGCTTGATTGCTTCCTCCTTCTGGATGACGCCGGAGAAGAACGTGCGCCATTCCCCCGGCGGGTGCGCCCCCTGGACCTGGGCGCGAGTTGTATCGTGAATCAAATTGCCAAAGTCGTTGACGTATGGGTGAGCCCCGACGTTATCGTAGATTGTGGCAAGCTGGATGAGCTGGCCGATATACGTGATTGTCCCATGAACTCCGACATCCTGGTGTCGGATGATGGCCTCAGCGACCGCTTCGGCCTGATCTGGGGTAGCGCCGAAACCATTAAGGACATCCAGAGCCTTGATACCGCCGTAGATATCAAAGGACATCCGAGTTGCAGTGAGGTTGTGCTCGGAGGTACCGATGTCGTGCAGCAAACAGGTCAAGGCCCAGGTACTGGGGCTAAGGGCACTGGCTTGCTTAGGGAACTGCTGCTTGGTGATAGCCATTCCTAGAGCCGGTGAGCAAATAAGAAAGCATGGAAGCGCAGTGCTGCATACCGTAGTAGTAAACCCTCATAGAGTGGTTGAATGTTTCAACGGGAAGAGCGGTCTTTGCATAGCTCAGAGTTTTCTCGACAATGGGGTCATCAATTGGAAGCTTGATCTCATCGATCGACAGGGCTTCCGGTACGTTGATGAAGGGGTTATCACCAAAGATGGCGCCAGCATTAGCAGGCATGCTGGTCCAGCCATTGACTTCAACTTCGTTTTGACACATGTAGAGGGACGGCCTAGATAGAGTATGAAAATTCACTTCAACCAAGCGCACTTCTTATGACAGCAAGTACTGATAGTATGTGAGAATGGCTCCAACAATCATTATATAGCCATTCGCTAACCTCCTGAAATAATGGTTGAGCCGATCGAATTTGATTTGTAATGTTAACCAAACTAAGAGACCGAACGTCATCCGGTACAGGTAGTAATGACTATGCTACTATTATTTTCAGGGCTTTCCCTCCAGATGCGATTATTGCCTTCCGACTTTGAGGGAGAACCGTTAAGCTTCTCATACATCTGATGTTACCTAAATAGGAAGTCTTTTGGAGTGGGTCTCTTGTGATTCTTCAGCCCCGCATCATACGGAGTACGTAGTGCTAGAGACCCTGGCAGCCTGGCTCATGCGCACATCAACTGGCTTACAAATACGGGCTTACCAAGGCTACCATCACATGAGTGGCAGAACCATCCAATATACCTAATTGTAACACCATTACCCAGCTAGTACGGAGTATGATGATCGCTCAAGGGTGTATCTAGAACGGCCGAAATGACCGCCACCTCTACTTAGGTTGGCCATGCGCCCCTTCTTCATGCCTTGGATCATATGTGAAATTTGTAGGTGTAATAAATACCCACATTACATCTGAAAATACCACTTATCTCCAAGACACTACTAGTCTAAAGGAGACTATCAGCCAATAGAAAATATTCAAAATTCATCCTAAAGATGTATCCATAAATAACTAATGAACGGCATCAGTTTAACGTGTCATTTGAGATAGAGAGTTGTCAGCATCGGCAGTCTTGTCAGAAGTTCGGTAATCCTAGTATTTGTATGACGAGATAACCGTCTGAAAGGGTCCGGTCTTCTCGACTCAGTGGCCATCTAGGTGATCTGTATACTACGGTGTGGAGCGAACATGAACTTATCCAAATCATCATCACATAGGTTACCTCACCTCAATCCCAAATATCCCAAGACCACCTAGACGAGTCCTTCAGATAAAAAGATCCATTGTAGATCAAGATGAGTCATGACATTTGGAGCACCACGTCAGACTCGTATTTTAGTTTCTCTCTCCCAATCACCGCCTATGAGACCCGGACCGTCCGAATGTACTAGAAATCCGTTTAGACTCTCCAACATTATATTTAAAACCATCACCTTGGGGCTGCATTTGGACAACAGTGCTTGCAAATCGGTATCCAAGTCAGACATATTAAAGAAGACATCGAAATCATTCGCAATGCAGGCAATTCGTGTGGGTTCAGCTCCTTCATCTGCCGCTCCATATTCACCCTCGAATCCGGCACCGTCGTCAGCCTTGTACCTTGATCAAAACACGCCTATTCCTAAGCCGTCAAAAAGAGACGAACTCCTTGTCCGTGTCAAGGCTACAACGGTGATTCGTGACATGTTGACGTGGCCCGAAAGCTATCACCAAGAGCATTCCATTATCGGAAGCGACGTGTCGGGTATTGTTGCGGAGGTCGGTTCGGAGGATTGCAAGTTCAGACCGGGAGATGAGATTTTCGGAATGTTGAACGTGAATCGTGCATCTGCATGGGCCGAGTACTGCATCGTGGAGGAGAATGAAGTTGCGTTGAAACCAAAGACTCTATCCTGGGAGCAGGCCGCGGCCATTCCCCTTAGTGCACAAACAGCATACGAGGCCTTATTTGACCATGCGAGTGTTCCTGTACCCTCCGTTGAGGAAGTAGCGAGAAGCAGATCTTCTCGGACCTCTGGCGAAGGGCAGCCCCGGCTTTTGATCACTGGTGCCGCTGGGGCTGTTGGAGTCTACCTTGTCCAGCTGGCTTCCCTTGCTGGACTCCACGTTGTGGCCGCCACCAGTTCGAATACTCGCAATGCAGAGTTCCTTCGAGAGCTCGGTGCTCACGAGACGGTTGAGTACGGCATGCTGGAGAGCCACAACAGCGCTTACGATATCATTATTGATACTGTCGGGGGTGGCGTGTTGGCCAAGTGCTGGAATTATGTGAAAGAGAACGGCACTCTTTTATCCGTGGATTCGGCGAGCTACAACTTCGTTGAGGATCATGAAAAGCGTGGTATACGTAGGGAGGGCGTCCGCGCTTTATTCTTTATTGTCGGAGGCAGCAGCAAGGCTTTGCACTATTTGGCTGAACTTGCGGACTCGGGTTTTGTACGTCCCTTTGTTGCTGGGACGTATCCCTTTGCAAAAGTACAAGAGGCGTACGACATTGCCAACGGAAGGTATCCTGGGCGTGGAAAGATCGTTCTTACCATCTGAACAGACCGATGCCATACGACATTTGTCGACTGAAGACCAAACGCGAGTCTCTTAATGTACCAACAATACGTCTGGAATTCTATTACCTTTCACCATGCATGCATTGGGCAAAGTAGAGACAAGAAACAGCAGGGGTTTATCAACAAAAGAAGGGATGAGTATGGCTCCTTAAGATTGAAAAGCTTGGGAATACCTTCAAGCTACTGATGAAAAAGTTAGCGGTTATGGCCATACATAGGAAATTGCAGTGGGCCATCTTATATGACTGTACTTGTAATGTCAAGGTTCTTGCCCAATTAGTTGAAGGGAGCTTCTCCCAATTTCTAGGGTACATATTGAGACGGTACCTAATCTGCATGGCCCTGAGAGCGCGCTTATGAGCTTCTGAGGTTGAGTCACGTATGCCTAACATTGGTCTTCTCCTGTTCGTAGCCTTATTGAAGCATGAGGTTTGGCAGCATGACTGTCGCCATCATCTCTACCTTTCTATTGACTCTCTGCCAACAAACCATTGGCTGCTTACTTCCCATTAACGCGGACCGTTTCCCTATTTTTCATCAATAAACAGTAACAGATGACTAACCGGACGGCTCGTGCCCTACAAACCCTCCTCTATCAACAACTAAATAGACTATCTTTTGCAAATGGGGATGTGTTGTCTATGGCTAACCCTTAACTGGTGGGGCTCTCAGAAAAAAGCTAACCTTATTAATATGCTTTTCCCATTGCTCCCCTGCTCTTATGTATCGCAGTGCTCACCCAGTGCTGATAAAGAAGATGGATTCTGTAATCTCCTGCGAAGGACTGGTGTGATGCAGTGGCTGAGTAGGGAGGATTAGGTTGAGGTGCACCTTGATACGAGGAAGATGACAGAGGAAGAAGAAAAGATGGTGGAGTTTAGTTGGCCGACAGATAGAGTGGGCGTATGGGTATTAAGGTTTATAAGTACTAAATAACTGCTAAGGGACTTTGGGAGAATGTGTTTAATAATGAATATAGAGGAGAAGATACAGATTATGAGAGAGTATAGTGCTATGTTTGTTAAGTTGTCACGCAGATGGAGGAACTTTATGATTGCTAAATACATTTTGAGGCCTACCAGCCTTGGGATGGTATGCTAATTGCTACATGCAGTGCAGTGGGAGGCTCGTCAAGCGAAGAATAACTATCAAGCTCTGGGATACCCAGACCGGCGCAGAGCTGCGAACCTTTCCAATTTGGTTCCGGAGGTCTTGTCAGGTAAAGCCCATATGGAGCACGAACAAGGCTCTCAAGTATCAGTTGAAACTACGGAAGCCCCGTTAGTGTATGTTAGCAATCGACTCTGGGAACATGGTAGACTACCAGCTGTACATAACAACGATCAACATGCCCAATAGTCCCAATAGTCCTTACATGGTTGTCAAGGACCTCCTTCACTTCCCTCCTCTGCCTTCACCTTCTCCATGATCTCCATAAACTCTTGCAGATCGTCGCCATCCCATTCATACTTGCCTTGGAAGAGGAATCTCGGAACCCCCCTAATCCCTTCAATCTCTCTATTCTTCCTTGCCTCCTCGTCAACCACATTACCAACATCCTCCGCCAGCCACCTCTCCACCACCGCAGCCTCAATCCCCGCCGCTACCGCCGCCTCCCTCAACACCTCCGGCCGAGAGATATCCATCTCGCGTTCATGGTACGCCTCGAGCAGCTTCTCAACAAGCTCCCCATGGACCTCCGAACTAATCGTAGGATCCTCCCGACTCAAATAAACCAGGCGATGCGCATCGCGCGTGTCCGGCCCAATCATGCCCCCGTAGTTAATGCGGACACCTACCGACTGGGCGATCTTATCCAGACGCTTGACCATCGCGGCACGCTGCTCGGGCGTCTTGTCCTTAAGCCGCTCATCGAAAAGAACGGACTTGGGCACGCTGCACCCGTGCCGGTTGGGGTTGAGATAGAAGGGGCGCCATTTGATGATGATGGTGTCGTTGCGGCCGCCCGGGTAGGTTTTGCGGTACAGAGCGATGGCGCGGTCGAGGCTGCGTTTGCCGATGTAGCACCACTAGGTTTGGGTTAGCGGGGGACGGATGCGGGCTCTGAGGGGGTGCTACTTACGGCGCAGATGAAGTCGAAGACTATGTCGATTTCAATGACGGTCATTGTGTGGTGGGTGTCGTGTGAGGCGAGGTTGTTGCTGGAGACAAAGAATGATGGTGATGGCGGGGTTTATAGGTTTATATATGGTGAGCCTGGGACATTCCTGTCGGCATCCCAGCCACTTTATGTAGGCAGACACTTTTATGAAGCATTTCGTCTAGAGATGTTCTGAAGCTTCGGGGATTGCATGAAATATGCGACTCCCCCAGCTGCTGGCGGTGCGTCGGATGGAAGGAAGAATGGTAGCTGCCTAGAGAAGCATTTGTGTGTGGGGGTTGGCTGAATACGTAGACGTAGAATCGGTTCATGTAGAGTTTACGCAATGTGACGCGTGTGATGTGATCCAGGCTTCTCTTTTCTTTCATTCTTGTATGATTAATAATAGTGAGACAGTGCCTCAAATACCTAATAATAATTAAGCAGAGAAACATCCTGGTCAGCCACAGCATCCACTCTCCCCGACTTGATCTCTTGGCCACCAGCAAACAGCCTCGTCTTCTATAGGCACCTGTCGGAGCCGAGTTCAGGGCCTTCCTGACATGATGCCCCTGCATCGGCTGCTGGCTGGATAGGGCCCCGTCCTCCGTAAGACGGCTGCCTGAAACGGCGGCGTAATCGCTAAGACTTAAAAGGGTTTCGTTGAATCAGGGTCGAGCCGGCCCTCATCGATCCTTCCGGTGGATCTATCAAATTCCTTGGACCAGCTATATACCTGCGCATACCACCCCTACGCCCGAGCTTGCATAAACATCTCTTATCCTTTCACACCACCAGAACTAAGACTGCTGGTAAATGCAACATGTCCTAGAACATACCTAATTAGACTGATGTTAACGCGCTCCTTGGCCCTAGAGCACCAGCCAGGCTAGGAAAGATGCCGCTTGCAAGGTCTCAATGCTATAATATTCTCACATCGTTTCCAAGGCGTCTGGAGGCAACACTCTAACCCAAATCCATGTAGAGTCCTGAGAGCCAGCAGGCCCCCAACATCAGGATGGAACCCTTCCGGTTTCTCCCTCTATTGCTTGAATTCGCTGCAGCAATTGCACATATGAGCTGCTGATACTCCAGTAGCTGAGTGAATTCATCACCACAATTGACTCCTCCAACAATCTACGCGCTCCCCGGTGACAAAGCAGATTTCCAATTCCCGGAAGCTTGAGGCAGCCTGATCCATTCGCAATCCACCCTTTCGTACCCGCCGTCTGCAAACACTCTAAGTCGAGCACGGCAGGAGGTTCCATGTTTCCGTCGGGACCAGGACAACGGCTCTCTAGCAACCCGTACCGCTGGCAGAGCGTGGAATATACCCACAGCACAAGTACGGCTCTGAGCAAAGATGCCGGCGTTAGGAAATGCACGCAGCGATTCAAGCGGATTGTTTCAAAGACCTGAGCACCATACAACACCGCCAGACGCCCTTGAAATGGTGATTTGGCCCATTCACTCGATAGAAGATCCCACGACGCGGCGTCCATTCTCCGGTATATGACCCTTAGACAAACAGATTTTACTCGCAGGGTTGGACTGTAATGGATCATCAGGCCCGAGTAAATCAGCACGCGGTGGAGCACAGCTGCCTTTGTGTGGCCCTCGCCAAGTTCTTCTCCAAGGAGGCTCTTGAATGTTGCCGCCGCTGCGAGTCTCTGTTCCGACCAACAACCCTGAGAGGAGCTATCTGCGTCGTCGTTCATGACCATGCTTGTCAGATAGTGCAGGATAGTCTGCTTTCCCAGCGTTCCAGTCTGTGACCATGCCCATATCCAGTTTTGATTCGCAATGGTTCGAGGTAAGGACGGTACCGTGGAAAAGTTCCTGGCTTCCATGATTTGAGCCCACTGCTGAGCGCCTGGTGCACCCCAGCAATCGTCCGATTGCGGAAGGCAATTCTGCAGCTCGTCCGCCGTCATTACATGGTTAAGCCCAAAGCTATATTTCCACCCGAAATCAATCAGCTGCGAGAGAGTCGGAGGTTACCAAACTTGCCATCGATAAAAGCCCGAGTCTGAGACATAGACGGAACGCTTACCCAAATGGCGAACCCTGCCCGTCGACGTTCCTCGTCATGTATTGAGAGCTGCCGTTCTTGACCAAGCGGGAGCTGCAACGCGGATATTCGTGTACGAGGGAGAGTATTTGAAAGGAGTCTCTTGCGTCGTGCAAGAGTAACCGGGACGGCCTGGACCAGCTCTGCCAGCTCAAGGTCCCGTCGATTGCCCGAGTACATCAGGCCTAGCTGATTGAGAAGTATGGTTTGCATGATCCAAAGCTCACGACTGGTGCGATTGCATTGTTCACACTTTTACTCACATTTAGATAGTTAGCCGACTGTGTTCGAACTGACAAGATGTGGTCTTGAGATGTAGCCTCACTGTGTACGACGTATATCGTCGGATGAGCTCGTGCATCGCCTTCTGGCAGGCCTGCGAGCCCTCCAAAGCTGAGAAATGCGCGCCGATGGCCGCAACGGTAAGAACAAGGAATGGATTCATCGTCGCAGGGGAAAAGGTAGGCTTATGCAAGATCGGAAAGACAGGGTGGAAATGCTCAAAGTAGAGCTGGACCCAGGCATTGAGAACGCGAGCAGGCGGGATGCGCAACTCGATAAACTTGGGGTAGTTGGATTTGGTTTGCAATGCGGTAGCCATCTCCAACACCTTCAGTGGGACACCGTCCGGAACCTGCTCGACCAGGGCGAGATTTTCCTTCTCGATATCCTCGCTGGCGATAGCAGTCATGTCAGGAAACACCAACTGAGCGTCCAGTTCAATAGAAGCCGGAAAGTACTGCCTCGGGTCGATGGCATCTTTATCCATATCGGGTTCCTGAATGTTACCATAGAGCCCGGCGATAGCGGCTGTGGCGGATGCTGCAGGAGCGGATATCCCCAAGTACTCATCGTCAAAACCAAAGTTGAGCCACTCATCAAAGTCATTCCAGTCCAACGAAAAGAAGGGAGGTACCGTTATGGTATCGATGGCCCCATAGGTCGCTTCGGCCTGGGCGGGGCAATGTACCGGTGCCTGTTCATACAGGTTTTGACTTTGTGGATGAGCAGCTTGCGACACTACGTCTACACTAAGCGAACTATTCCTAGGCTCACTGCCTGGTTGATTCTGCCTAGAGGGAAGGTTCAGACAATGCTCACTAGGGTGTTGGCGAGTGCGTGTGGCAGACTGTCTGGTACGCTTGGAGACCAGATAGGAGCATTCTCGATGCTGGTCGCAGCAACGCTGACATGGCTCCTTTCCATCACATCGGACTTTAGATAGCCGGCATGATTCGCAGGCTTTGATGACTCTGCGTCTTTTGGCCAGGGGCTTCCCCGTGTCCGTCTGATGGACAGATGTATAGTGGCGGGCGAGTGAGTCTCTGCTCATCCAGTAAGCGATTGCTGTCATATATGTAGCCGTTGATATAAAAAGGGAAAGGAAAAGAAATCATCTTACCCACGGCTAAAGATCTGCTGACAATAGAAACAGGAGAAAGGCTTCTCCTCTGTATGTGACCGCAGATGCCGCTGGTAGTGTTCTCGTCGGTTGAAGCTTGTCTGGCATGTGGTGCAGCGCATGTTCAGCGACTTTCTAGGACGAGGCACCGGTGGCTTTAAGTGGAGATCCATGGATGCGGATGAGCAACTACAGAAGGATACAAGACTCACCATCCCTGAATGCATGTTTCAGATCTTAAAGGGATTTCAGGGAGACAGTGGGCCCCACGGATGTGCCCGGAGTTCTTGGACGGTCTAATAGGGAAAATAGGGAAAGCGTATGTAGATCTCCTTGGCAATAGGGCAACCTGCTGGTACTCTGTCTGAACTATATGAAAAGAAGAAGAAGAAGAATAGTGTAATACTGCAACAGAGCTGTATAAGAAGGCATCGGTCACCTACCCATATTTTAGGCTACATTTTGGCATCCTGGTCATATGTAGGTTAAAACAAAGTAACAAATGAACGCATCAGTTCAAAAATCATATTTCTAGCCTACTCTAGAGACAGGTTGCTGTATACCGAGTATCGCGTATCCAATCTACTGTTACCTTCCGAGTCTGACTGTCGCTATGTGGGTTGGCTACTGGGTAGCCCCTGTGCCGTGGCTACCTAAACATGTTTGGCCAAAAACTCGTAGCCTGGAAGGACGCTCTCCTTAAACTGGACCTCGTCCCTTCCCAGCCCAAAATCAAACCCGTGTTGCCCTCCTTCCGCCAAAATCAGCTTCGACTTCACCCCCAGTCCCGCCAGATGTTCATGCGCGCGCCGCGAGAACCGCGGGTCAATAAATGTATCCTTGGTCCCAGTCAAGAATATCGTCGGCGGGAATGCAGACGAGAAGAAAGTTGCTGGGTCCACACGCGCAAGGTCGCCGTCCTGGACACAGCGCTCCAGATGTGTCCCTTCCTTGAATGCTAGAGCCAACCAGGCGTCTCGAGGCTTGGAAAGATTGGGCATGGGCATGGTGCCCGGTGCGAGAAACTGCTCCGGTGCGACATCAGTCATGGAACGGGGTGGCTCGCTGAGAACACGCTGCGCAAACGACTGATCAATTGGAGGCATCATTTCCGAGCCGGGGTCGGTTGGCTCCAGGCATCGTCAGAGAAGTAGGCGGCTGCGTAGAATGCTGCAATCGCTTGCGGGGGGTCAGGTAGGCTTCCCTATTGAGAACGAGGCAAGAATGTGAGCTATTTTCTTAAGCACGTAGCGCTTGGAGAAGAGGGATCGGGACAATGTGGTTAAGCCCACCAGATGTAAAGCCAAAGTACCACCGGAAGATTGACCAAAAGCGACAACACGACTTGGATCCAGTGTGAGTCCTACTTCCCTGCGGATCAGCTCGGGGAGCGTGGTCTTCACCCAACGAAAAGCATCTCTCGCATCCTGGATGGGACCCTCGTAGAGGGAGACATGTGGACAGAGACGGTAATCCGCCAACACAACAACAAATCCGAAGTCGAGAAGTACCTCTATCTCCTCGAGATTGAAGAGAAACCTGGATCCGATGGTGAAGCCGCCTGCATGAAATCCAATTGCTATTTTGATGTACAGTTAGTACTACTTGGTCCTTCCAATTCAAGCAGGGTTAAACTATCTTACCAATCGGTAGCTTCGTGCCTGGGTTTCCCAACCCAGTCTGCGGCCAGTACACAGTCGCTGCGACATCAAGGCCCTCGACGGTCTTGTATACAAAATCCTTTGTGGGCATGATGATCGGTACGTCCGTGATAGTGTTAGCACCGGTTTGGGCCAACCTGGAGACTAAGAATACTATGCTCAGTGAGTTGGAATAATCACCCTGGTGAAAAAGGACCCTTTCAGTTATGTCGCCTATCTATACGGCCTCGTAAATGATCTGATTTTGCTCTCGGTTAATGTGGTACGGGAACCCGATTGTCTCGGATATTGTGGGGTAATAACGATATCGGAACTGCAATCTCGCATTCTACCAGCAATCCAGTGCATAATCTCGGACTAAACACCTGGATAATAATGGATTTATACCGGGTAGGAAGGGATCAACTGCAGATCTCGTCAGAATGGGAAATTATTCAAGTCTACAGATCAACCTAGGCAACCAGTCGGTACTTTGTTCCCGGCGGGTTGCGCTTTTGTCACCATTCCGGGCAGAGCCCAATGGAAGCGCATAGGTCTCGCCTTTGCTGGCTCTTGTTGGCATAATTATTAGTCTACTAACAACAGGGAAGTCGTTCCGGCCGAGCAATTCTTTAAGTACCACGTTGCGCGTCCAACGTACTCCAGCATTCAATTGTTCGCAATCTACACCGATTTAGCCTGGCTTTATACCCCTTTTGCTCGTCGTCCATTGCCAACACGGTCTACAACAATGCCCTCGATCATTGAGAATGAAGAAAAAACCCCTTATTCCGCCACTGTCGTCATCATCGGAGCAGGACCCGTCGGGCTCCTGACAGCATTGAGACTGGCCCAGAGTGGCATCAAAGTCGACATCGTTGAGAAGGAGGCAGATCTCAGCGACGCCCCTCGGGCGTGCTCCTACTACGCTGCAGCTCTGCACGCGCTCCAAAAAGCCAATGTTCTAGACGATATCAAAACGACCGGGTTTACCACCAGCGGTCTTTGCTGGAGGGGCCCGCTGGCTGACGACGGCAACGGAGGGAAAAAGCTAGGCGAGCTGCTTGCTTGTCTGCCGATAGTGGGCACGAATGACTGGGACCATGGAGTGGTGAACCTCCAACAGTCAAAATTGGCCAGCCTTCTCTACAAAAGGGCCGTCGAGACTGGATTGGTCAATGTCCATTTTGGCCTGCGGCTCAAAGGCATTGAGCAAGACGCGGACTCGGTAACAGCTACCGTCACTCGGGCAGATGGGAGTGACGAAACCACCTTCCACGCTTCATTCCTCGTGGGTGCCGACGGCGGGAGGTCGACGACCCGGAAGCTACTTGGCATTCAATTCAAGGGCCATAGCTGGCCGGAGCGCCTGGTGGCCATAGATGTTTTGATAAAAGATGCCGAGTTTGATGATAATTTCCCGAGTTCGCTTTTTGTTGATCCCGTCCATTGGGGGCTTGTGTCGCCGCTGGAGAAACCCCAGCGCGGAAAAGAAACCCTGTGGAGATGTACGGTGGCGCTCCATTCTAGCGATCAGCGAGGGGACGACCAGGTGGTTGCGGAGGAATCCATCAGGAGCCTTCTCTCCCACGTTGTGCCGGGCCCTCAACTCGATACAGCAACAGTGGTGAGAGCATCTCCGTATCGGGTGCACCAACTTTGCGCGACCACGTTGAACAGTGGACGCTGTGTCTTAGTGGGAGACGCCGCGCATCTCAACAATGTAACTATGATCCGCTTTCTGTACTAATGATCCAATTCCCGGACAATAGGCTAACACCGCACTTCCTCTAGCCTATGGGGGCCATGGGCCTCACCACGGGTATTCTCGACGCCGATGCTCTGGCCGACGCTTTGGAGCTCATTATCCACGAAGGGAAGCCCATCGGCGTGCTCGACATGTACACCGACGAACGACGCCGCGCATTCCAGATGTTCGTCGATCCTTCCTCGTCGCAGAACAAGCTGCGCATCGCCAGCGACGTCAGCACAGCAAAGCAGGACTGGCTCATAAGATTTATGGCTCGCGCATCCGGTGACGACGAAATGGTGAAGCAGGCAACCGAGGCTTTCTTCAGTGTCTGGCGGACAGATATGAGAAAGAGTCTGTACACTCACAAAGCTTGATTAAGCTATATCCTAACACACAAATATCCCAGCAGTACTATCCTGCGAATGACAACAGTGCTGTTGTTGACAAGCACTACTTTATATTCTGTGATACATCAATGACGCAGACTCTTGGGCGCAGGATGGACACTGACATGTAGATTCGTAGCGCAATAACCCTCTCATCACAAGCCGACGATAGCATTTTAAACTGGCACACAGTGCTTACGCCCCAATGCTAGTTTTGCGTCAACATGACAATTACTTTTTGGCCTTGTAAAAGAGCGATTACAGTGAACGACGGCTATGTGGGTCTATTTTTAATAAAAAGGCTTTTGAATGATGACAATTAACGAGTCAGTTTCTGCTGACTTGATTACCGCTATAGCAGGATCACCTGTTATAAAGGTCGACCTATTAGACTAGATTAGATTTCCCCAAGCGTTGCCACTGTATATCTGCTAATCATAATTTCTTCACAGGGTAGACAACTAGCATTAGCAGTCCAGCTATCCCTACCGATGTACCACTATGTCAAAAACCTAATACAGTGGCAACCTCCGGATTGGTCTCTAGGACATGTTTGGATTATTATTTGTGAGCCCTTGCTCTTTCTAAAATTATTCAGTCTAAGCTACCTTAGGCTCGTCCAGACTGGATTGTTCTCTTGAGCGACTAAATGTTACGACACCAACACAGCCGCATTAGCGCAAGGCGGGTGTGACAGGCACAATCAAAGGGAAACATCGATCACAATCGATCCCGAAGGAATCACTGAGCAATCCAGAGAAACACTTAATCTGGACGGACCTTCACGGAAAACCATACAGTAGGGCATCACTGGATGTCCTTGCAAACTGTCATCGCGTGATGAGGAGGTACAGATGGTATGCCCAGACCATGAACTGAGAGTATATATATAATCTACCATCTCTATGCTCAGGATATACTAACCTATCTACCATAAGAGGAACTACAGGTATATAAAGATACCTATTATCATATATCTAGCACTCTTACTTGGGTAAGTATTTACAGAATCTCTTACAATTCTGGTTTAACCAGTCAGATTGCTGTCCTAGCTGAACTCGCCGATATGAGCCTGAATCGTTATGTTTATCGTATATTTCTTCCAATTTCGCGTGTTGTTGTATAAGCGCTTGTATTGTGGTATGAACTCCACACACCAAGCAATATTGTCTGCTTCATTGAGCCTCAATTTCACACGCCGCCAAGCCGCCAATTGGCCAGCCTACTGATACGTTTTCCTAAACCCCCAAAGTGACTGTAGCATTCACTTGTTCATGATCTGTTTGCTACCAAGCACATTGATGCCGGGCTTGCAAATCCCGGATATTAAATTATGTGTGGAGCCCGGAGTATACCAAAATGTAACCAAACTACGGCGGACTGAATGTACAAACCGGCCAAAATAAATTTTTTACTGTCACTGGCTTGTATTACCTATAGCCACAAATAATTCCATGAATGTGCACTATTAACTTTCTATTACTATTCTTAATGATTAGTATATTATAATTTATTATTAAACCTAACTCCTATTATCTCCTTTTACTCCCCTAGTTATAGCCACTAAGGCATCCTCCACCAGGCATACTAGATCCCATCATGCATCTGCAGATATGCTGGATGAAATGTATGTCCTTAACTTAGATGGTTACATACTTTGCATGTATAGCTGCTAGATTTACTACTATTAACCTTCCTATTAGTTTATATATTATTTTATTTAAAAGTATTTATTCTATACTTATGAACTCTGTGATAAGTATTACTTCTGTAGCTTCCTAGAGGGCTAATAAGGCACTTCCCTGCTAGCACATTTCCTTATTCCTATTTATGACCTCCAGATAGATCTCTCAGACTAGATACTAGAATGATAACTTCTATATAAGAAGGTTAGCACCCTTCTGGTATTACTTAATCTCCCATAATGCAGTAACTAATACAGGGTTAAATATAATAATCTATAAAATAATCTAGTAGTCAGGTACTTACCTCCTAGGTAGGTATAGTGCTTTTTCTTTAGCTACACCTTTAGCATTATAATACTCTTCTATCTAGGTAATATCTTATAAGTAATCTACTTCAGCTTTACTCATTAACCTAATGGTTTTCTACCAGTGCTCTTTTTAGCACTAGCTTTAGTTCTAGCTATTTTGATGTTGTGATATGAAGTAATAAATAAACTATATAAGATAGAGGGAATATATAGGGAATGGTAATTATAAGAGTAAAGATATAAAGTAAAAAATAAAGTAGGTAAGAGGAAAGGAACACATAGGAAATAGTAATTATAATAGAGTAGTATAATAGTAGGTGTAATAAAGTAGAGAAGTAGGTAGAGAGAGAATTCTCTTTATTTTAATATAGAATAAAGAAATTCCTAATTTAGTAAAGCTAAGGGTATTTACTAAAGATATATATAAGTAATATATTAATAATAATATATAAAGTACTTATTTAACTTATACTTAATTTACTTATATCTCACCCTCACCTTATATTAAATTTAGTGAAACTAATTATATCTTACCTAACTTACCTTGTTCACCTCTCTATTTTATTCTCCTTTAATATTATTGCCCTTAATCTATTTATCTTATAGTAATAGTATATATCTCTTAACTATAACTCCTATTATCTGCAACTTTATAATATATTAAGCTAAGTAAGTATTATGCATCTTATAGTATGCATGATGGGATATATACTAATCTATAAAATAGTCTTAATGCAGAGAATATATAGTCTAAAGCCTGGTTAGCTCACTAGCTATAAGTATAAGGGAGAGGAAGAGCTCTCTATAAATACTAATATTAAAAAGGTCCGCGAGCAGCTTGCTTAAATAACTAATGCTAAGTAATAGTTAGAGAGAATAAAGAATATAGATTATTAGGCTGTCTAGAGAGCCCTTAAAACACTCTAAGACTTAGAAGAATTTCAGAATGCCTCTAAGGAGGATAGAGCTCTTCTTATTAA